GCAGCCAGTGTTCCTACTTTTTGACTTGTTTACCTAACAAGGGGCACTATATTGGGAAATCTGGAAACAGGTTTTTTGTGCCTAATGTAATAATGAGCAGGTTATTTTAGCTGAAACAGTCCTAAGTATTTCAAACCAATAGTACACAAGTTCATGGCAGCCAGTGTTCCTACTTTTTTACTTGTTTACCTAACAAGGGGCACTATATTGAGAAATCTGGAAACAGGTTTTTTGTGCCTAATGTAATAATGAGCAGGTTATTTTAGCTGAAACAGTCCTAAGTATTTCAAACCAATAGTACACAAGTTCATGGCAGCCAGTGTTCCTACTTTTTTACTTGTTTACCTAACAAGGGGCACTATATTGAGAAATCTGGAAACAGGTTTTTTGTGCCTAATGTAATAATGAGCAGGTTATTTTAGCTGAAACAGTCCTAAGTATTTCAAACCAATAGTACACAAGTTCATGGCAGCCAGTGTTCCTACTTTTTTACTTGTTTACCTAACAACACATGAACAAGGGGCACTACATTGGGAAATCTGGAAACAGGATTTTTGTGCCTAATGTTATAATGAGCAGGTTATTTTAGATGAAACAGTCCTAAGTATTTCAAACCAATAGTACACAAGTTCATGGCAGCCAGTGTTCCTACTTTTTGACTTGTTTACCTACTACAACAAAGATACCTTTACACAGATCTGTTGAATAGCCAGGAATACGCCTGGATGCTCATGACTTGACACAGCCCACTGTTTATGGTGGTGGTATTCTAAAGGTTGGTCTGTTTATAGTCCGACATTGTATGACCTTGGCATACAGCCTTAGAAGTTGCTGTGACTCCTCCAAAAGTAGGGTAAAACTGTAATCATTGACAATGTGTGAATTCCAATGAAAACCAGTGACCTTGGACATGCACCAAAGTACACACACTCTCAAACAATACACACATTTTTCACAAGTAGAACCATCAAAATATGTGTATCGTTCAAACATGTTTTTGTCATATTATACGTATAATCTTCCTTGAAACTGTTATTGGAAATTCAATTTTTCCAAACAATTTAAACAAAGTGGCCAAATGAATTTTGTGTGTACAGGTAACTGGATGTCGAGTTTCACTGGATGCAACAAATTGTGTCCTATATACTTAACATTGAGAAGGGGGTCGGGTAGCCAAGTGGTTAAAGCGTTCGCTCGTCACGCCGAAGACCCGGGTTCGATTCCCAACATGGATACAATGTGTGAGGCCCATTTCTGGTGTCCCCCCGCCGTGATATTGCTGGAATATTGCTAAAAGCGGCATAAAATCAAACTCACTCACTCATTAACATTGAGAATGGGCAAACTGATTCAATGAAGTGTGTGAAAAGTCTTGCTGCTCAGTCTTTGTCACTGTTGTACTACAGCTATGCATGTTACATATATAAAACATGACTGATGTTGAGTGTAAGAAGTACACTCAGAGTATCAGGGGTGGATTTCTGTATATAACCGACCCGTGAAGATCCAGGTTAGATTTGGTCTTCAGCAGCCCATGCTTGCAGTAAAAGGCGACTATGCTTGTCGTAAGAGGCGACTAACAGGATAGGGTGGTCAGGCTCGCTGACTTGGTTTGATGCATGTCAACGTATCCCAATTGCATGGATCGATGCTCATGATGTCAATCACTAGATTGTCTAGTCCAGATGCGATCTTTTACAGGCCATCTTTCATATAACTGGAATATTGCTGAGTGCAACATTTAATCAACAAACAAACTAATACGCTTAAAACTTCTGAGCATGTGCCGTGATATGACATCAGTAACATGCCATGAAATCAGTTAAAGTGAGGGAATGCCAAGTACATGCCTTGACACCCAGAATTATTACAGAGAGTCCTTGGACTCAAAAATAGCTAGAAGCAAGTAAATCACCGTGATGTGTAATTCTTGTAATGACATAGACACAAGAAATTGGTCATTTTGAACTCTGACCTTGTGTAGCTTTTAGACATAATCTACTCATGTTATTGGACATTGTCTACTCGACCTGTAAAGATCCGGATTAGAATAGGTCTTCAGCAACCCATGCTGGCCGTTAAAGGTGACTATGCTTGTCCTAAGAGGCGACTAACGGGATCGGGTGGTCAGGCTCATTAACTTGGTTAATGCATGCCATCGTATCCCAAAGGGGTGGTTCGATGATCATGATGTCAATCACTGGATTGTCTAGTTCCAACTTGATTATTTACAGACCACCGTTATGTTGCTGGCATATTTCTGAGCGTGGTGTTAAACAACAAAAAAACAAACATAGTCTACTTGTGCTGTGGGAAATCATCTACTCATGTCATAGGACATATTCTACTCATGCTACAGGACATAGTCTAATCATGCTATTGGACATAGTCTGCTTGTGCTATAGGACAAAGTCTACTCACGCTATAGGACAAAGTCTACTCATGCTATAGGACATAGTCTACTCATGCTATAGGACATAGTCTACTCATGATATTGGATATAATCTACTCATGCTATAGGACATAGTCTACTCATGCTATTGGATATAATCTACTCATGGTATAGGACATAGTCTACTCACGCTATAGGACATAGTCTACTCATGCTATTGAATAATATCTACTCATGCTATAGGACACAGTCTACTCATGCTATAGGACACAGTCTACTCACGCTATAGGACATAGTCTACTCCCGTTATTGGACATAGCCTACGTGTGCTATTGGACATAGTCTACTCCCGCTATTGGACATAGTCTACTTGTGCTATAGGACATAGTCTACTCATGCTATAGGACATAGTCTACTCATGCTATAGGATATAGTCTACTCGTGCTATGGGACACAGTCTACTCACGCTATAGGACATAGTCTACTCATGCTATAGGACATAGTCTACTCAGGCTATAGGACATTGTCTACTCAGGCTATAGGACACAGTCTACTCACGCTATAGGACATAGTCTATTCCCACTATTGGATATAGTCTACTCATGCTATAGGACATAGTCTACTCACGCTATAGGACATAGTCTACTCATGCTATTGGATAATATCTACTCATGCTATAGGACATAGTCTACTCATGCTATAGGACATAGTCTAATCGTGCTATAGGACATAGTCTACTCCCCCTATAGGACATAGTCTACTCGTGCTATAGGACATAGTCTACTCAGGCTATAGGACATAGTCTACTCATGCTATAGGACATAGTCTATTCCCGCTATTGGATATATTCTACTCATGCTATAGGACACAGTCTAATCGTGCTATTGGATATAGTCTACTCGTGCTATTGGACATAGTCTACTCATGCTATAGGACATAGTCTACTCATGCTATAGGACATAGTCTACTCATGCTATTGGACATAGTCTACTCATGCTATAGGACATAGTCTAATCATGCTATTGGACATAGTACTCATGCTATTGGACATAGTCTACTCATGCTATTGGACATAGTCTAATCATGCTATTGGACATAGTCTACTCGTGCTATAAGACATAGTCTACTCATGCTATTGGACATAGTCTACTCACGCTATAGGACATAGTCTATTCCCGCTATTGGATATAGTCTACTTGTGCTATAGGACATAGTCTACTCACGCTATAGGACATAGTCTACTCATGCTATAGGACACAGTCTAATCGTGCTATTGGATATAGTCTACTCGTGCTATTGGACATAGTCTACTCATGCTATAGGACATAGTCTACTCAGGCTATAGGACATAGTCTACTCATGCTATAGGACATAGTCTACTCATGCTATAGGACATAGTCTACTCCCGCTATTGTATATAGTCTACTCATGCTATAGGACATAGTCTACTCACGCTATAGGACATAGTCTACTCATGCTATTGAATAATATCTACTCATGCTATTGGACATAGTCTACTCCCGCTATTGGACATAGTCTACTCATGCTATTGGACATAGTCTACGCGTGCTATTGGACATAGTCTGCTCGTGCTGTTGGACATAGTCTACTCATGCTATAGGACATAGTCTACTCACGCTATTGGACATAGTCTACTCATGCTATTGGACATAGTCTACTCATGCTATTGGACATAGTCTAATCATGCTATTGGACATAGTCTACTCATGCTATTGGACATAGTCTACTCGTGCTATAAGACATAGTCTACTCATGCTATAGGACATAGTCTACTCACGCTATAGGACATAGTCTATTCCCGCTATTGGATATAGTCTACTCATGCTATAGGACATAGTCTACTCACGCTATAGGACACAGTCTAATCGTGCTATTGGATATAGTCTACTCGTGCTATTGGACATAGAATACTCATGCTATAGGACATAGTCTACTCATGCTATAGGACATAGTCTACTCATGCTATAGGACATAGTCTACTCATGCTATAGGACATAGTCTACTCCCGCTATTGGATATAGTCTACTCATGCTATAGGACATAGTCTACTCGTGCTATAGGACATAGTCTACTCATGCTATTGAATAATATCTACTCATGCTATTGGACATAGTCTACTCCCGCTATTGGACAAAGTCTACTCATGCTATTGGACATAGTCTACGCGTGCTATTGGACATAGTCTGCTTGTGCTGTTGGACATAGTCTACTCATGCTATAGGACATAGTCTACTCGTGCTATTGGACATAGTCTACTCGTGCTATAGGACATAGTCTACTCGTGCTATTGGACATAGTCTACTCGTGCTATTGGACATAGTCTACTTGTGCTATTGGACATAGTCTACTCATGCTATAGGACATAGTCTACTCCCGCTATTGGATATAGTCTACTCACGCTATTGGACATAGTCTACTCATGCTATAGGATATAGTCTACTCCCGCTATTGGATATAGTCTACTCACGCTATTGGACATAGTCTACTCATGCTATTGGACATAGTCTACTCCTGCTATTGGATATAGTCTACTCATGCTATAGGACATAGTCTACTCAGGCTCAATGTGTTTCATTCTGTTTGTCAGGAAAGAATGGGAAGGCCTTCTCAAGCTCGTCCGATGTGAGATTATCAGCTGCATCTCGGATGAAGACATGGACGCGTATGTACTCAGGTGAGAATGATTCCTGCTACCATGACAGCAGCCCCAGCACCCCATGCGTGCTCCACTGTTGACATCAGTAGAAACTAAGATCACCAGACTGCTCTTGTGTCAAGCGACATGGTCAACCAATGTTAATTTGGATCATGTTAATACATTTACGCTGTTTGTTTTCCAATGATAACATATTTTATTAATCATTATTTCTATATGTAAATTTTTGCTCTCTGTTTTTTTTAACGATATTGAAATGACAAAGCTGCGACGTGTTGCAACAGCTTGAGGATATCAGCTGTAATGTTTTTGTGTTCACTGTGCGACACTAACCATGATAACTGTCGTGTGTCGGGAGTCCTTCAACATTATAGAAATCTGAAAATATACCATCGTCAATGTTAAGCTGTGCAGATGACTGACTGATGATTAAAGATACACAGCATTATCCTCACGACCATGATGTTCCAAACAGATTAGGCTGATATTATCATAGTGTTCACAGCAAAGGTGAATGGTTATAGCATCATCATGATATATGGGAAGTGTGACATCACTGCATTGCTCCACACATCAGAGCACCGTATCAATGGAATGGTGCTGCATGCTAGGAATTGAGAAAAATTATAAATGTGCATGTTTTGATCCTTTTTGCTGAAAGATAATACCCCACCATGATGACATTTGTCTGTGATATTTATAGATAAGCATATCCCAATGTGGTTGAAATCTCTATAAAACAGTAAATACAGTCAGTTGTACTGGTACAAAAACTGTTATTATGTTGTGCGTGTTGAGTGATGTCTCTCTATGCCTCTGAAGCAAAGTGTTAGTTTGACACTATTGTTAAAAAGAGGACCTAGTGCATTTGAATACAGACCATCCCCTTTCCTTTTTTTTTTGGGGGGGGGGGGAGTTGGGTATTTTTCATTTCAAAATTATTTAATCTGTCTCCAGAAATTGTAGCTTCCACCTTTATAAGCCATGTTGATACGACTGTAATCGTGGTGTTTTCCTTGTACTGTTCAACAGTGATCATGGTGATGGAAACTAACATTTTCAGTCCACTAGTCCTTATAATGATAACATTTAGCAAAACCCTTAAAAATAGCAAATTTCTACTAGTCCTTTGATACCTTAACAATTGGACAGTTTGGCAAGGACTACAGGACTAGTGGCAGTTTCTAATATTGTTCAATGTGTTCAGAGGTGGATGCAGGGTTATGAAATACAGTTCACATGGTCACAGGCAAGTACACTGTTGCCATCTACTTGTCTGCAGTACAGGGCTTCTGGTCAGACAAAATATTTTGTGACTTGCATTTTGTGTCACTCCCTGTTAAGACTTGGTTTGGACTGGAGAGACTTGTAGCTTTTCCTATCACAGGCTACGAACAAATGAAGTGTGATGGTGATTTATTAGTATACCAGTGCATCTCATGTCTGAAAATGTTTGACAAATGGGTCAGGTGGGTATTAATAAACCAATCCATTAGGCAAAGGATGGAAACTAGCCCTAACTATCCTGAGCCAGTTTCCCTAATGTTAAAGGTATCCTAAGGGTTGGTAGAATTTCTAGCCTTTGGTGGATGTTCTTACATGATATCACCAGACATCAAATGTTTGTTAAATTCTATCCTTGTATTAGGCCCTTGATTTGAAAATGAAATGTTGTACACTTAAAGTGTTACAGGGTTAAGATATATATCTTTATGTATTTCTATATATTTCTTCCTGCACACAGCGAGAGCAGCATGTTTGTGACCAGAGACAGATTTATTCTGAAAACCTGTGGACGCACCACTCTACTGTTGGCCGTGAACCCACTCATCAAGATAGTGAAGGATAACTGTGGATTTGACAAAGTCATGGTAAGTTCTGAGTTACAGCTGACATATTGTATCACCAGGTTCCCTTGTTTGTTGCGTGATGTGACCGGAGTTGCAGAATACCATGTTTTGTTTTGGTATTTATAGGTACAGAAATAGAGTGGTGGTGTGTGTGATATTTGTTTGGCACATCTGAAACTGGTTAAGAAATATTTTACCAGATACTTGCAACACTTTTAAGTTTTTGTGGGTAGTGTTCTGTTAACATAGTAAGCATGGTAAGCTAGTAAGCATTGAGAAGAACGTAGGGCAGGGGATTACATGAGAAAGTTGACCTTCTCTCAAACTGAGTCACAGTGTGGAGAGAGCTTGATCCTCGCTGATGCAGTTTGACATGCAGTCCTGCATGCTGTGGGGGGGGGAGGAGATACTTGCTTTTCGCCAAATTGGTAAACTTGATAGAACAGTGTGACTTTTGGCAACTTGCTAAAACTCGCTTGTTTGTCAGTACCTCATTCATCTTATATCTTTGTGACTTCGGATTTCTCTTCCTCGAACTGATCCCTGTTAAGTTCATGCAAAGTTGCTCATTTCTTATTGATGTTACCTGTATAATGTGTATGGTAAGTAGGTCAATTCACACCTGGATGACATTTTTTCTCAACGACTCGAGCGAATCTCAGATATGGATGACATGATATAGCATTGCTGAGTGTGGTGTTAAACAACAAACTAACAGACAAATTTGTTGCGTAAATATTCCCCGTTTGTTTGTTTTACCAAAAGTGGTTTAAAGTCAGTGGGACAGAATGTGTGCTTTGGCTTGTAACTACTCATAGTGTGAATCCAATCTCAATTAATCTCGGCTTCATGCAGAGAGGCGTCGTATCAGAGTTGAAGATCTGATCTTAATTAGGAAGAGTGAGCAGGATTTGAAATATAGAGGTGTGAATGATACAACAGGATAATCAAACATGAACTGTTCACACTCCTCAAGAAGCACCATGTTCATCACTGTTATTCACTCTATCTGTGGTTTACTGTTATCTGTGAATACATTTGGTTTATTTTCTTGCAGGATATCTTCTATTCTCGAAAGAATTTCTCTCGTCCAGAACTTCAGCATGGAATTCATCGAAGTTTTGAAGATGAGGTAACAACTAGTATTATTTTAAAACAGTTCTAATACTAACAGTATTTATTTCAAATCTAATACCTTAAACATGTTAAATATGGTTTCAATGCTGACTATTAATTGCAGAGTTTTCACAGAATTTTGTTTCAAATCCTAAAAAGCCACATTAAGTACTCACCATTATGCAAAAGTGCAATTCAAACACTGCTTTGGTGTATGAAAAATGGATTTCAAAAGGAATCTGCTTTTACCAAACTTAAAGGTTTTCCAGCTCAAATACTTGTAGTGCTACTTGCAGTGCCTGACACATAGAACACTCCAGATGGGAGCAACACAGTCAGTTTACCGAGAGTGGAGGAATGTTTTAGACGCAGACCACCTTCTTATCATCACCTTAAACATGCCTGTGATCAAGTTTAGTTGCGTCCCTTGGGCACCCCAGAAACCTATGATTGTGGGTTCCAATCCTGGTTCGACCCGATTATGTTTCTAGGTGTGTCAGCTCCATAGCCGTGCTCGTGGGTTTCACCAAAGTGGTAAACGTCTGAGACCTGCATCACTTCAGGCTTTGCTCCAACATTAAGCTGATGCGCAGTGATATAACTGGAATACTGTTAAAAGCGGCGTTAAACCCAACTCACTCACTCATTCAAGTTTAGTTGGAACAGTGCCCCAGTGGTCTAAGGCGCTGCAGTTCACTATGCAGAGTTGCCTCCCTTAGGTGTGAAGCTATGATCAAGGGTTTGAATCTCGGTTCAATCAGAAAATATTCAAAGTTATCAGCCCATGACATGCTCGTCAGTTTCACCAAAGTGGTAACTGTCTGCCACCTGCATCACTTCAGACTGTCCACCAACACCAAGATGACACGCCATTATTTCAATGAAATACTGTTCAATATGACAGTGAACCAAACTCACTCAAATTTAGAATACTAAATAGTTATTTACCTTCACATGGTTTTATAAAGTCTTTCCAAGTGCATAGCTGATCTGGCATTTTTACCCTTCTCCGAACATCTATAATTCATTCTCAGCAACATCTTGAAGATCGAAGTTCTAAGTTAATCTTACCAGTATGCATATTTAATAAATATCGCCATTTGTATTGCTGGATTCAAACATTTAGTAAATTTCATCTGTGTAAATGATCACACATCACACGCTCACTTGGTCATCAGTAACTGACAATATGGATCAAGCTGAACGTGTTGTCTTCCATGAAAACAGTCAATAGAATTGTAAGCCTGTCTGTAGGAATCTTATTATTGTTTGTTTGTGTTTACAGACATGTGTTTGTCTTTCAGGTGACACATCTGGATAAGCTGTTTCCAAGTAAGTATTCACGGGAAGACACTGTGGGGAGGCCACTGGTATCCAATGCTAGGCTGACTAGATTTAGGATTGGGTGGTAGATAGTGAATTCGGACTGATTGTGTGTCATTGTCAACATGGCAGTGCCTGCTACAATCTAATTGGTTGAAACACATTAAATGGGATTGGATCCCAGAAATTGTCTAGTTTCACTGTGGATGAATACGCTGTCTTCTTAAGTATCTCTTTGTTCTCTATCCTCAAATTTGAAAACAAATGAGCCATTCTGCTTGGCAAAATGGATGCCACATTAATTGTATTTTAAGTTTGTACATACATTTTGTCAGGGACTGTCAGAACAACTTTGATGTAGTTGCTGGTAACTACGAAGGCTCAGTTGTCACCAAAGCACATATCATCCATTGTGAATTTCAGTCTCACAAAAAAAGTTCAGGTACAGAGAGAAAGCTAGGGAAATGGCACAAGCATTGAATATTCATTAACACCGGTAAATTTGAAAACACATACAGTTCAACTCCTATTTATCCCCCAAATTGATGGATTGGTGCTCAGCTCGTCAAACCACGCTTTTCTTGTCCATACTTGATTATTTACAGGTGAATGAGATATGTCTGGAGTGATTGAGTGAGCGAGTATGGTTTTAAGCTGCTTTTAGCAATATTCCAGCAATATTCCAGCAATATCACATCAGGGGACACGAGAAATGAGGTTCTTACATTGTACCCAGGTGGAAATCGAACCCGGGTCTTCGGCGTGACAAGCAAACACTTTAACCATTAAGCTACCCCACCGCCCTTGATATGTCTGGAAATACTTCTGGCTGACCCGCAACACCTGAGTGACTGAGTCCTAGTGCAGTGGAGTTCCTGCTCGTGGGCCATCTGTTGTAACATATAGGATAACACGAACCTGTTACTCTATAAAAATTTGATATTCATATTGTCATTATGGGCAGCATCTAGTAAAGCCTATATTTCTCTCACCTGTGCCGTTTTGGTAACCACACGGCTTGTATATTAGATATCAATTGAAAACATTTCCCAGTAATCAGTTGGTGAAATAATTTGAGATGTTTAATGTATCAACACCAAGCCAGCTGCTTCAAATTGGATATGGCATTTCTCCAGGATTGTCTAGTGAGCAGACACACTTGTGAAACTTTGTTTTCTTTTTCATATTGTGACCCTTCTATTCTGATGTGAACAGTTAACTTTGAGTAGATTTTTTGAAGATTATCATATCCTTTTTCTTATCCATTAACTTTAGAGCAAACAGGCAAATTTATGATAATCTTACTTTGTTTCCCATTTTGATTGCTCAGTTGATACTTCATTAAAAAATATAACGTGTGACCTTACTTTCAAGTCTGTTAAATCTTGAACAAACTTTCATTGATCTGAAATTTATCAAAAGCGGCTGTTGTGTAAAGTATTCATAGTTATATAGTGGTATCTTGAAACTTGTCCAGCCTCAATTCTTATCCAAAGAAACATGTTGTGTAATCTGAGTCTGTTGTGCAGACATTCATTCCTTGCGTGAAACTAGGCTGGCGCAGACATGCAACCTTCACCTAGATGTCTAGCTGAAGCTTATCAGGAATTTATCCCAGTCCAGGTCATCAGAAGTAATTAGGCATGTCTACCAGATAGCTTCTTGTATTGAAGCATGTAGCTTGCTCTCGGGCTGTTGGGTAGCCTAGTGGTTGAGGTGTTAGCTTGTTACACAAGGCCGGGGTTCAATTTTCTCAGATGGGTACAATGTGTGAAGCCCATTCCTGGTGTCCCATGATTAGTGCAAAAAGCAGTGTAATAACCCAGCTCTCTCACTGTTCCTCTCAGACTTTTCTTTATCTTTTACCTTCACACATTTGGTGTGCAGGGGTTAGGGCTAGGACGAATCCAAATTTACTACCAGGGGACCCAACCCCTTTTACCCTACCTTACCCAACCCGGGTACCAACTGATGAATCGATGCTCATGATGTCAATCACTGGATTGCCTGGTCCCGACTCGATTATTTACAGACCGCCGTCATATAGCTGGATGTTGCTGAGTCGGCATAAAACAACAAACAAACTGATGGGCACAAAATGTCCAATTGAGAATAGTTTGAATGTAGCCCTGGCAAAATGTATTTAGACACACAATTAAAACAACAGGTCAAGCATACACTGAAGTTTGCTGAAGCTTTTTCTTTACTCAAAGTATCATAAGGAGTGCATTAATAGTCAGAAAGTAATATAAACATTACTGACAGAAACCAAAAAGTGTTTCATCAATCTCAATGCAAATGAAAACGTTGAACTTTAATTTTTGTAATCTAGCTCTTGGTGAAATGACTGAGGTCAAAGATGGATCACAAGTATTGTTCTTGCTGGCACACGTAACTTGCACAAGGCACATGTGACCGCTTGTGAATGCCCTATGGCACACTTGATAGAAATAGATATCTGCCTGAGGCATGTTTCATGAACATATTGAGGTAGAGTATGGCGTTTGAACCATAGATAAAAAACTGGAGCATTTAGGAGTTGATTTGAGAACGGAATGGACCTGGTGCATGAATCGGAAGGCAACTTTTGAATAACAGATTTTTGCATGCAGCAAGTCCATGTATCTCATGGTTTCTATGTGAAGTTAAATTCCATTGGAAAGAAGTGTCAGAGAGTGTATATAAAGATTTTGTCAGTGGATGTATTTAGATGGGTTTCATTTAGACATGTATTTACATTAAGCCTACCTTTGTAATTCCTTGGGGCAGTGGGGTAGCCTAGTGGTTAAAGCATTCGCTTGTCATGCCGAATACCTGGGTTCGTTTACCAGCATGGGTACCATGTGTGAAGCGTATTTTTGGTGTCCCTAGCCGTGATATTGCTGGAATATTGCTAAAAGCGGTGTCAAACCATACTCACTCACTCACTCACTCACTCACTCACTCACTCACTCACTCAAGATGATTCAGCACTAGACCTAAGAATCTCATCCTCCAAGCATTGGGAGTCACAGACTGCAACAGTCTAAAGAGTGAGTGTTTCACACTGCAGGCAATAATGTTCACGTAATGTGTCACGATACATATCTAATGTCTCAGGTTGTTTCACTGGTGACCCACCCTGGAAACCCCAGGTTTACAGTATAGTTTGGTTGCTGGTATTACACGGCACTGAGCAGTATTCCAACTTATAACAACTATATGACAGCGGCCTGTAAAGAATCACCAGACAGTATATTAATTTTTATGACAAAGTAAACAGAAGGAGATTTTTATAAGTTTTGCTCCCTTTATACCATTTGCATGACGACTCCTCTTCCCTGCAACCACTGGACTTTAATTCTTGAGATTAATGAGATCCATGTTTACTTGGACATCACGTTTTCACTTTGAAAGCTATGGCAGCACTATAGGGAATGTTAAGTCAGCTGAATATGAAATGAAACACATGGAAATTTTTCATTTTAATAAAGTGAACAGCTTGATATTCATTTATGTAAAATTCATTTTTTCTTACAAACTGGTGGAAGAGAAGCCCATTAAGATACTGGTATCAACGTGTGTGAGATCGAATTCCAGGTCTCTGATTGGCTTCTCCATGGTGATGACCTAAGGTTAAATTATGAGGGGCTACTTTCCTGATTATAATTCATTGATAAGTTACTGGTGCTTTGGTCGAATTCACGAATTCATGTCTGTGTTGAAACTTTTCAGTTTTAGAGTGTTGGTCAATGTTCTTTGGTCTCGTCTACTTTGCATTATCACCTTGCTAATCCACAGATATGTAGCCAACTATTTTTGTAGAGGGTCACGCAAGGTATTGGTAGTAAGCAGTAGGTTGGATGAAGTCACAAATAAATGTTGTGTTATGTATTAATGCACAACAGGGATCATGAGAATAGACAAAATATGCCTCGATTAGATGCTAAAATGGCGTGATTTTTGGGTGTGTAAGGGACAGATTACTGCATTCGTGCCTGTAAGATACCATTTTCAGATACCAATCTCAGTTTCATTATTTTTTTTGAAATGACAGAATGTGTCTTGAGTTTTTATGCATCATGGTATGAGACAAACATATTGAGGATGTTGTCTCAGCAATAAATCATGCAACTGAGGGGAGCTTCCATGTACCAGTGTTGAGTCCAGTTCTCATATGAACTTCAGTGAGCTGTGACAAGGTCTGTTAACATGGTGACACGGGTTGACCTTGCACTCATCTAGTTGTAGTGGATACGCTGTCATATTCACCAGGGAAATATCTCTCATTGGTTTACCCCACCATTGCCATATTCTGCATAACCATCTACTGATGAAATGTTGCAGCCACTGCGTGCAAGGTTTTACACAAGGCAGAAATGTTTGTCCAGTACGCACAGATGTACAGAATGGGTGCAGAACAAATATAGTGCATCCCTCGGGATGAGCAGTATTGTTCATTGTATCACATTCTTGACAAGAAATTTATAGGCCCTGTAATTAAGGAAATTATCGACAGTCCTGTACACTACATCATTTAATTACTTTACAGGCCCCTTTAAATTAATTATAGACCCTAGTAGGTCAAGGTAAAACTGTGCCTGTATCTTCATCACTAGCTGAAGTGATGCTTCTGCTGTCTGTTGGTTTACATAGCGTTTTGAGGTGGTAATTCAAACAAATATTATGGAGTTTTTGCACAATTTTGTTTATTGGCATTCCTGGTTAGGCCAGTATGCCTTAATTGTTGGATCACAGATATTGTTGTTGTCAAAGTCTTAAGTCGGAGGAGGGATAAAAACATAATTTGAAAAAGCTGGCATCAGCAAATTTTTTTAAAACTGGATGAAGGATTGTTTTCACAAATATTACCTGTAGGAGGGAGAAAAAAATATAAAAAATATTAATATATTTGCCATCTTGAGTAATCTCAAAGTAATTTTGCGTGTATGACTAAAAAGAAATAAGTGTAAACTTGTATTAATTTTGTTACCGATTGTAAAGAAAATAGGGTTGGAGGATCTATTATCCAACAACAAATAGATAATGGCCTTAAGTTCATAGCCAGAACACACAATGTCTAAAACTGTCCTTGAATCGTTGTCTCGACAGTAACTTTAACAATTGGTCATAGATTTGGATGTGTTTGTTCTTTTGTTATTAAGCACAGCACTATTCCAGCTAAACAATGGAGGTGTGTAAATCAGTGATTGTATTACAAACAACTTCCTACACTGTCAGATACAATGCCACACATTCTATCATGTCACGGAGATGGACCATTTGAAGCATTGAGTGGCCTTTATGACAAGCATAGCCTACTGCATGGGGACCAGTTAGAGTACATTGGCTTTCTGGTCTATGATAATACATGTGTTTGATTCTGAGAACGCGGAGATAAATGTTCCTCTACAGGATTCCAGGACAGAGATCCCAAGTAACCCATGCTTGTCATTAAAGCCTTGTTATGAGAATTGGATTGTTACAGTGAAGCTTTCAGTTTCAAAGTGGATGCATTGCCGAGTGTAATATGAGTAGTAATCATACTTGTTCAAGACTTAAATATGACATTATCTCCTGTTGTAGATGGAGCCGCCTACAGCTTGGGGAGAATCAATCGTGACTGTTGGTATGTATGTTTCTGTAATCATTTATTTAGAATATTGTTTGTCCTTGTTTTATCAGTTACATCCCTGTTTTGGGGTGGTTGGCTTTCAATTATGTCTGGGGATTGGGAAGAAGCTTGGGGAGATGGACAAGCTGTTTGGGGGAGAGGAACAAGCTGGTTTGGGGAGAGGAACAAGCTGGTTGGGGGAAGGGGAACAAGCTGTTTGGGGGAGAGGAACAAGCTGTTTGGGGGAGAGGAACAAGCTGGTTTGGGGAGAGGAACAAGCTGGTTGGGGGAAGGGGAACAAGCTGTTTGGGGGAGAGGAATAAACTGTTTGGGGGAGAGGAACAAGCTGGGTGGGGGAGAGGAAAAAGCTGGGTGGGGAAGAGGAACAAGCTGGGTAGGGCAGAGGAACAAGCTGGGTTGGGGAGAGGAACAAGCTGGGTGGGGGAGAGGAACAAGCTGGTGGGGGAGAGGAACAAGCTGGGTAGGTGAGAGGAACAAGCTGGGTGGGGGAGAGGAACAAGCTGGGTGGGGGAGAGGAACAAGCTGGGTAGGGGAGAGGAACAAGCTGGGTGGGGGAGAGGAACAAGCTGGGTAGGGGAGAGCAACAAGCTGGTTGGGGGAGAGGAACGAGCTGGTTGGGAGGAGAGGAACAAGCTGGTTGGGGGGAGAGGAAACAGTTGGGTGGGGGAGAGGAACAAGCTGGTTGGGAGGAGAGGAACAAGCTGGGTGGGGGGAGAGAAACAAGCTGGGTGGGGGAGAGGAACAAACTGGGTGGGGGAGAGGAACAAGCTGGGTGGGGGAGAGGAACAAGCTGGTGGGGGAGAGGAACAAGCTGGGTGGGGGAGAGGAACAAGCTGGGTGGGGGGAGAGAAACAAGCTGGGTGGGGGAGAGGAACAAACTGGGTGGGGGAGAGGAACAAGCTGGGTGGGGGAGAGGAACAAGCTGGGTAGGGGAGAGGAACAAGCTGGTGGGGGAGAGGAACAAGCTGGGTGGGGGAGAGGAACAAGCTGGGTGGGGGAGAGGAACAAGCTGGGTGGGGGAGAGGAACAAGCTGGCGGGGGAGAGGAACAAGCTGGGTGGGGGAGAGGAACAAGCTGGCGGGGGAGAGGAACAAGCTGGGTGGGGGAGAAGAACAAGCTGGGTGGGGGAGAGGAACAAGCTGGCGGGGGAGAGGAACAAGCTGGGTGGGGGAGAAGAACAAGCTGGGTAGGGGAGAGGAACAAGCTGGTTGGGAGGAGAGGAACAAGCTGGGTGGGGGGAGAGAAACAAGCTGGGTGGGGGGATAGGAACAAGCTGGGTGGGGGAGAGGAACAAGCTGGTTGGGAGGAGAGGAACAAGCTGGGCGGGGGGAGAGAAACAAGCTGGGTGGGGGAGAGGAACAAACTGGGTGGGGGAGAGGAACAAGCTGGGTAGGGGAGAGGAACAAGCTGGGTAGGGGAGAGCAACAAGCTGGTTGGGGGGAGAGAAACAAGCTGGGGGAGGGGGATAGGAACAAACTGGGTGGGGGAGAGGAACAAGCTGGGTGGGGGAGAGGAACAAGCTGGGTGGGGGAGAGGAACAAGCTGGGTGGGGGAGAGGAACAAGCTGGGTAGGGGAGAGCAACAAGCTGGTTGGGGGGAGAGAAACAAGCTGGGGGAGGGGGGGAACAAGCTGGGTGGGGGAGAGGAACAAGCTGGGTGGGGGAGAGGAACAAGCTGGGTAGGGGAGAGCAACAAGCTGGTTGGGGGGAGAGGAACAAGCTGGGTGGGGGAAGGAACAAGTTTGGTGGGGGAGAGGAACAAGCTGGGTGGGGAAGAGGAACAAGCTGGGTAGGGGAAAGGAACAAGCTTGGTGGGGGAGAGGAACAAGCTGGGTGGGGGAGAGGAACAAGCTTGGTGGGGGAGAGGAACAAGCTGGGTTGGGGAGAGGAACAAGCTTGGTGGGGGAGAGGAACAAGCTGGTTGGGGGGAGAGGAACAAGCTGGGTAGGGGAGAGGAACAAGCTGGTTGGGGGGAGAGAAACAAGCTGGTTGGGGGGAGAGGAACAAGCTGGGTGGGGGAGAAGAACAAGCTGGGTAGGGAAGAGGAACAAGCTGGTTCTGGGAGATGAACAAGCTGGGTGGGGGGAGAGGAACAAGCTGGGTGGGAGGAGAGGAACAAGCTGGGTAGGGGAGAGGAACAAGCTGGGTGGGGGAGAGGAAGAAGCTGGGTGGGGGAAAGGAAGAAGCTGGTTCTGGGAGATGAACAAGCTGGGTGGGGGGAGAGGAACAAGCTGGGTGGGAGGAGAGGAACAAGCTGGGTAGGGGAGAGGAACAAGCTGGGTGGGGGAGAGGAACAAGCTGGGTGGGGGAAAGGAAGAAGCTGGTTCTGGGAGATGAACAAGCTGGGTGGGGGGAGAGGAACAAGCTGGGTAGGGGAGAGGAACAAGCTGGGTGGGGGGAGAGGAACAAGCTGGGTGGGGGAAAGGAAGAAGCTGGTTCTGGGAGAGGAAGAAGCTGGGTGGGGGAGAGGAACAAGCTGGGTGGGGGGAGAGGAACAAGCTGGGTCGGGTAGAGGAACAAGTTGGGTGGGTGGAGATGAACAAGCTGGTTCTGGGAAAGGAACAAGCTGGGTCGGGGGAGAGGAACATGCTGGGTGGGGGGAGAGGAACTAGCTGGGTGGGGGGAGAGGAACTAGCTGGGTGGGGGGAGAGGAACTAGCTGGGTGGGGGAAAGGAAGAAGCCTGGCGACAAGTAGAATCTGGGCTGGGTAAGAAGAATCAGAATTACAAACCTGGTTTATCAGGGAGAGGCTTGTCAAAGACATACAGAATAAGTGGGAACAGTAAAAGTGAGAAAAATATTTTTCGAATTCTCTGTTTATCTGAAACTGTTTTGTGAAATGTGGCAGGAATTTTAACAATGTTATAGTGATTACATGGGAATAAGGCCACACATTGTTCAGAGAACTGCTGAAGCTATGAATGGTATTTGAGGCAGGGAAACTATTTGTGACTTTATGTTCGCAAGTGTGATTACCAGGCTTGGCATTAATAAAGAACTTTTGATCTGGATTTCTAAATCTTTTCCACATTCCTGATTTGTTAGTCAGTGGATCCGTGTCCCAAATGAAAAAAGTTGATGCCTAATAATCCTTTAAGTTTTGTAAAATGAACTCTGTGGTGTTGTTGGGAGGGTCCATGAATTAAATACATGAACACTTGACATGAGAAAAACAAACTATGAGGAGTTACTGACTATCTGCCCCAGTCATGCCTATGGCTTACATTAGTTTTCGAGTAGGTTATTCTATGTATTTCTCATTGTCATTTTACCAGTCTTCAAAATCATGCTGAAAATAATGGGGACCTTGTCATAATCCTAATGTTAAATATCCCTGTGTTACGAAACATTTGTAGTTTCTCTCTCATCACATGAACAGCTGTAAAACATCTCATTCACTTATTATAGAAAACTCTCTCTTTAAAATAAGCCATCATCTGAGTATTTGCATTGTTTGTGGGATACTTCACCCCTCATTTAACACGAAGACTCGCGATAAACATGGCCGTCCGAAAACGTATGATGTCTGTAAACCTATTAAGGTTGAGGGGGGTCCCTAGATTAAGTATTAGAGCAGCAAGTTTCAGGGAAACCCTTTCATTTCAAACACTGTGAACCCTATGTAGAAACTTCACTGAAGCTTCAGATGAAGATATGTCATTAATTTGAGATGTCACAAACATTGGATGACATGATATTGTCAAAAATTCTCAACAGTGAAGTAGTGATATGTCCTTCATCTGACCAATCAGAATTGAGAATTACACATATTAGCAACTTTTAAAGCTGATTGGTGAGTTGAAACAATATGACATCATTGCTGATGGGAATATGTCATCCAACTTTCTATGAAGAATTGACTTATCATACATCTCCAGGGGTAGAAAGATTTAGTATTTTAACTTTCTGATACTTGCACATATGTAAATGCACATGTGCAGATTTGGAAATTTATTACAAATATATGCAAAAGATATGCACTCATTGATGAAAACATCTTTGTCTGCTTGTGGTGTAATGTGACTTTTGTCTGAGCCCTGCATATTGTGTGAAGTTCAGGGATGTATTTTGTATACTTGCAGGTACCTATACACACTGGATGAGGAAGGGGTTACTCGACCAGATCAGACTTTTGAAATATCCTTTAAGTCATAACTTCACAAGCAGGGAACATTGACAAGAAGGAATGGTATTATAATATTGATGAGCACTTTACCAAGGCTGTGATTTGCCTGACACAAATAGGAAACCTGTTTGTAATGAGCTGGTTGTCCCATCCAAATAGCCATTGGGGCCTTGTTTCCTTAGGTCCTGTATATCCCACCAACGTTGGGGCCTTGTTTCCATCCAAATAGCCATTGGGACCTTGTTTCCATCCAAATAGCCATTGGGACCTTGTTTCCATCCAAATAGCCATTGGGATCTTGTTTCCATCCAAATAGCCATTGGGATCTTGTTTCCATCCAAATAGCCATTGGGACCTTGTTTCCATCCAAATAGCCATTGGGACCTTGTTTCCATCCAAATAGCCATTGGGACCTTGTTTTCCATCCAAATAGCCATTGGGATCTTGTTTCCATCCAAATAGCCATTGGGATCTTGTTTCCACCCAAATAGCCATTGGGACCTTGTTTCCATCCAAATAGCCATTGGGATCTTGTTTCCATCCAAATAGCCATTGGGGCCTTGTTTCCATCCAAATAGCCATTGGGATCTTGTTTCCATCCAAATAGCCATTGGGACCTTGTTTCCATCCAAATAGCCATTGGGACCTTGTTTCCATCCAAATAGCCATTGGGACCTTGTTTCCATCCAAATAGCCATTGGGATCTTGTTTCCATCCAAATAACCATTGGGACCTTGTTTCCATCCAAATAGCCATTGGGACCTTGTTTCCATCCAAATAGCCATTGGGATCTTGTTTCCATCCAAATAGCCCATTGGGACCTTGTTTCCATCCAAATAGCCATTGGGACCTTGTTTCCATCCAAATAGCCATTGGGATCTTGTTTCCATCCAAATAGCCATTGGGGCCTTGTTTCCATCCAAATAGCCATTGGGACCTTGTTTCCATCCAAATAGCCATTGGGATCTTGTTTCCATCCAAATAGCCATTAGGGCCTTGTTTTCCATCCAAATAGCCTTTGGGATCTTGTTTCTATCCAGAAAGCAGTTGGGGCCTTGTTTCTGTCCAAATAGCCATTGGGACCTTGTGTTCATCCTAATAGCTGGAAGACCCTGATCAAGACAACAGTTCCAGTATTCCTCTGAATTGTCCTTAGGTCCTGTATATCCCACCAATGTTTGTACCTTAACCACATCCACCTGCTCATGTGGGACATGTGCCCAGAGAAGATGAAGATATTTACAAAGGAGGTGTGCGTAGACGGACCCGAGGCTACAAAGGTAGGTCTGATCTTCTTCAGTCATACTAACCGAAGTGTCTACATCAGCAGAAAGAGCCCCAGTGCCTATCAAAGATGCGAACATCACATGTCTGCTGAGTTGTTCAGTGGTCTTAAAGTGCTGCAATTAGCCATGCAGAGTTGCATCTCTTTGGATGTGCCGGGATCCTCAATTTTGGTTTGAACATAGAATTTAGCCAGATTGTGATCTTTGGTTAGTTAGCACCCTATCCCTGTTCATATGTTCGCCTTGGTGACAAACATCATAGTAAGTTGACATGCTGTGATCCGACAAATATGAGATGTGGATACTGTACACTTAGGCAACATATTCAGATAACATTTTGATAGACCCCTGAAGATCCAGGCGAGAATAGGTCTTCAGCAACCCATGCTTGTCGTAGGAGGCTCGCTGACTTGGTTGATATATGTCATCATATCTCAATTGCGTGGATCAATGCTCATGATATCAATCCATGGATTGTCTAGTCCAGACCCGATTATCTACAGACCGTTTGAATATTGCTGAGTGCAATGTTAAACAAGAAACAAACAATTTGATAACATGGTGTGTGTTTTTTTTATCATATTATATTTCCCCCCAAGGTACCTACAAAATCCTTAATACCTGTAATATAATAATAGTCTAGCTTTTTCAGTCATGTTGGAGATTACACTATGAGATATAGATGATGACGTAGACACACATGCCCTATACAGATATGCCATTATGGTGAACATGAGGTGTGCATCTAAGCATGGCATGAATTGTTGGTTGAGTTCCTGCAGAAAGAGCTTCCATACGGACTGTAATTGCTTATGCATGTGTGGTAATCCCATGGCGGCCTGCCACAAGTGGACAGTGTATGAACCACTCAACGTTAACTCTGACAGGGACGCCGACATATTTCCCACTATTTACAGGGGTAGTTGGAGGCATTCATTGTCATCCTGCAAAGTCCATTCCATGTGTCACTGAACTGATATTGCTGAATATTGCTCTCAAAGGACATAAAAGCACAATTCTCTCATACACTTATACAGTATTTAATTATATTTTTATTTAGATAAGTATAGGGTTTGGGCTAAAACCCAAGAGTTATCCCAAGGAGAGGATACCCTGACAACAAAAACAGACACCCTGAAAAGACACTAAACCAGTGATCTTTATCACAGATTACAACCCCACTGCACTCAAGGTCAGCTCCGTGATCAAAAAGTCCTGGCACCTACTCAAAGGGCCAGATACCTGCAAAGACACGTTCTAAGTCCCACACATCACGGCATATAGAAAGAACGGCACACATGAGACATTCTCATGAAAGCGGCAATCGCATATCCACCACTCAAACCACAAATCAGTGGCCACACTGTGACCAACCTGGATGACAGCTGTCACAAACAATCATGTTAAATCTGCGTGAATATAAAGTTAGTCAACCCCTTCAGTAGCCACACAACAGAAACCAGAGACCTACCCTATCAAATCATACAACAGCTTAAAACACACCCTGAGTCAGACCAGAGCACGGCTAGACACCAATCCATCAAACGTAAATGGATTTTTTATCTGAAAACTATCCAGCCGCAATGCATGAACAATAAGATCTAATGTTAATAAATAATGGTGATTGTCGGTCACACGTAACAGATGTTGTGGACAATAAATACAAATAATGTACCTCCATTTCCATATATGATGATAAGATTTATTATTTGTCATATTTGCCACTTTCAGGGTTGTAGAAAATAGCAACCATGTATACATGTAGGTACTAAGGCCATGCCTGTGTCTGCCCTTTCTGTGTCAAATAGGGAGGTACCATGTGTGTTTCAGTCCCCCTCTGTGTCAAATAGGGAGGTACCATGTCTATCTCAGCCCCCATCTGTGTCAAATAGGGAGATACCATGTCTATCTCAGTCCCCCTCTGTGTCAAATAGGCAGGTACCATGTGTGTTTCAGCCCCCCTCTGTGTCAAATAGGCAGGTACCATGTGTGTTTAAGCCCCCCTCTGTGTCAAATAGGGAGATACCATGTGTGTTTCAGCCCCCCTCTGTGTCAAATAGGGAGATACCATGTGTGTTTCAGCCCCCCTCTGTGTCAAATAGGGGGATACCTTGTGTGTTTCAGCCCCCCTCTTTGTCAAATAGGGAGATACCACATGTGTTTCAGCCCCCCTCTGTGTCAAATAGGGAGGTACCATGTGCGTTTCAGCCCCCATCTGTGTCGAATAGGGGGATACCTTGTGTGTTTCAGCCCCCTCTTTGTCAAATAGGGAGAAACCATGTGTGTTTCAGTCCCCCTCTGTGTCAAATAGGGAGATACCATGTGTGTTTCAGTCCCCCTCTGTGTCAAATAGGGAGGTACCATGTGTGTTTCAGACCCCCTTTGTCAAATAGGGAGGTACCATGTGTGTTTCAGCCCCCTCTGTGTCAAATAGGGAGGTACCATGTGTGTCTCAGCCCCCCTCTGTGTCAAATAGGGAGATACCATGTGTTTTTCAGTCCCCCTCTGTGTCAAATAGGCAGGTACCATGTCTATCTCAGCCCCCTTCTGTGTCAAATAGGGAGGTACCATGTGTGTTTCAGTCCCCCTCTGTGTCAAATAGGGAGGTACCATGTGTGTTTCAGTCCCCCTCTGTGTCAAATAGGTAGGTACTATGTGTGTTTCAGCCCCCCCTATGTGTCAAATAGGGAGATACCATGTGTGTTTCAGTCCCCCTCTGTGTCAAATAGGCAGGTACCATGTCTATCTCAGCCCCCTCTGTGTCAAATAGGGAGATACCATGTGTGTTTCAGTCCCCCTCTGTGTCAAATAGGCAGGTACCATGTCTATCTCAGCCCCCTCTGTGTCAAATAGGTAGGTACCATGTGTGTTTCAGCCCCACTCTGTGTCAAATAGGGAGATACCATGTGTGTTTCAGTCCCCCTCTGTGTCAAATAGGCAGGTACCATGTGTGTTTCAGCCCCCTCTGTGTCAAATAGGGAGATACCATGTCTATCTCAGCCCCCCTCTGTGTCAAATAGGGAGGTACCATGTCTATCTCAGCCCCCTATGTGTCAAATAGGGAGATACCATGTGTGTTTCAGCCCCCCTCTGTGTCAAATAGGGAGGTACCATGTGTGTTTCAGCCCCCTCTGTGTCAAATAGGGAGATACCATGTGTGTTTCAGCCCCCTTCTGTGTCAAATAGGCAGGTACCATGTGTGTTTCAGCCCCCATCTGTGTCAAATAGGGAGATACCTTGTGTGTTTCAGTCCCCCTATGTGTCAAATAGGCAGGTACCATGTCTATCTCAGCCCCCATCTGTGTCAAATAGGGAGGTACCATGTCTATCTCAGCCCCCCTCTGTGTCAAATAGGGAGGTACCATGTGTGTTTCAGCCCCCCCTGTGTCAAATAGGGAGGTACCATGCGTGTTTCAGACCCCCCTGTGTCAAATAGGGAGGTACCATGAGTGTTTCAGACCCCCTTTGTCAAATAGGGAGGTACCATGTTTGTTTCAGCCCCCTCTGTGTCAAATAGGGAGATACCATGTGCGTTTCAGCCCCCTCTGTGTCAAATAGGGAGGTACCATGTGTGTTTCAGACCCCCTTTGTCAAATAGGGAGATGCCATGCCTGTTTCAGTCCCCCTCTGTCAAATAGAAGGTGCTTGATCAAGACACAATGAATCACATTCCCCACCACCCCTTTTATAGAAGCTGTCTCCGCACTTCACATGGAAGGTTTCGACAATATCAGTATCTATGTAGTAAACGCCATTACTGTATAAATACTCACTGCCAAAAGAAATGTGAATACCATACATGTTGGTTAATATATGAAGATTTACTCATATTCAAGAGATATTAGATTGGTTCAATGCACAAATGAACTTATTGGTATGTGTGTGAACTGATGCTCATGAACGCATCACATGTGACGTCATAGATCCATGACTGGAGATGCACCATTTGTCTCATGCAGGATTAGCATGTAACGTTTGGAAATCACATGCAGCATATTGTGATAAGAATTAAGTCACTCCATCATAACATTTGGCTGATTGTTAGTCTGGTCATCAATTGGTACACGGGGCCGTCAGGTAGCCCAGTGGTTAAAGTGTTAGCTCGTCATGCCGAAAACCCAGGTTCGATTCCCAACATGGGTGCAATATGTGAAGCCCATTTCTGGTGTCCCCCCCCGTGATATTGCTAGAATATTTCTAAAAGCGAGGTAAAACCATACTCACTCACTTACTCACTCACTCACTAATTGGTACACATTGGAAACCTCTCTTCTTAACGTACATACAGTGATCGCTCGCTATTGCGCTACCAATGGGGTCCAAATAATTGGTGGGCGTTATAGACGATGAGCCGTTTAACCGAAGCCGAGGCGGGGGAGCGCGCTCGGCAAATCTCAAATCATCAATAGGCCTATGTGTTTATCTCACGTCACGTCAAAATAGTATATATTTTTATGGACCTAGATCTACCTGTAATATCATTCATTTATTAAATCTGTCATATTTCACAATGTCTGAAATACGTATTCCATTCTAATTTATCATTTTTTATCAATAAATTAAAAAATTATTCACTATTTCCCGCGATGTTATTGAAAATAAAATTCTCGGACACACATTTCGACAACAACGGGTCCGCATCGAACATGTCAAAGAGCAAAATAAAGACTATTTTAAGCAAATCTTTAAATATATTATACAAAGTGATAAATAAAATCAACAAAAATATATCTAAAAGTAATCAAACTTACATCTAAGTTATTATTTCCATCGTTTTGTGCGATCGCGTGTAATGTAAGTCAAATGACATCTCGGCTTTCGTCGCCTTGAATTCTCGGCTCGGACACAACGTTTAATGCAAAAATATATGCATGAAAAATCTTTGTCACAGCTCGTAACCTAGCACGATACATTCGCGAAGTTCCATATTTTTAATATATATCGTGATTTCCTGCTTAAAACGTTCAGAATAACACGATTTAACAAAAAATCTTTCGCTAACTTCTGAAATTTATCAAACACGAGCTTTGTATCAAAGCTTGATTGGCTGCCTGAGGTCACGTGCTCAAAATTGACCAATCACGAAACTTGTAGCAGATTTCGGCAAGAAAGCGTCATTAGAAACAAATTTTAATCCAATGAAATCGCTTGTTATAACTACGGGGAAAAAACAGGCGATGTTACGAAAGCGCGATTACGAAATGAATGACCGCCGTGTTGTGACAGCAACTACATTTGTGTGACAGTTTAGCCTTAAATTGGATTGCCCACTAATTAAGAATACAAACTTCACTTGTGGTTCTCTTTTATTGCATGCATGCGCTTCTAAGATCAAAGGATGTATAGTGTGAAAAGTTAACTAGTTGAACAATCGTATTTCCGGGACTTGCCGCGGATATTTTCAAACAGATTATTAGAACTCCATTCAGCGATAAACCGTTGATTATGCAATGAGAAGCGTTAGGTGCAAATAAACAACGAACAACAATACAATCATGTCTGTGTAAAACTCTCAGTATTAAAAGTGTACATAAATTTTGGGAGCCATGCGTTACCGCGCGTAATAACCGAAGTAGCGCTTTATCGAAGAGCGCAATAGCGAGCGATCACTGTACTTCTCCATATGTTTCTGTGGTTTGTGTAGTTAGGTTTCTTTTGGCAGTGAGTATAGTATAATTTTTCATAAATTTCACAACATTCACTGCAGCACTATGCAATTATAAATTTATTTTTTCAGAAATCTGGAATCTGTGATATAATACCAGGTGCCAAGATGGATGACTTCCTGTTTGACCCGTGTGGCTACTCAATGAATGGCCTTCTGGAAGGTGTAAGTACTACTGACTTGACCTGATGTTATAGAGGCTACACTGGTCTTGTGTAAGTATTACTGACTTGACCTGATGTTATAGAGGCTACACTGGCCTTGTGTAAGTACTACTGACTTGACCTGATGTTATAGAGGCTACACTGGTCTTGTGTAAGTACTACTGACTTGACCTGATGTTATAGAGGCTACACTGGTCTTGTGCAAGTACTACTGACTTGACCTGATGTTATAGAGGCTACACTGGTCTTGTGTAAGTACTACTGACTTGACCTAATCTTATAGAGGCTACACTGGGCTTGTGTAAGTACTAGTGACTTGACCTGATCTTATAGAGGCTACACTGGTCTTGTGTAAGTACAACTGACTTGACCTGATCTTATAGAGGCTACACTGCTCTTGTGTAAGTACAACTGACTTGACCTGATGTTATAGAGGCTACACTGGCCTTGTGCAAGTACAACTGACTTGACCTGATGTTATAGAGGCTACACTAGTCTTGTGTAAGTACTACTGACTTGACCTGATGTTATAGAGGCTACACTGGTCTTGTGTAAGTACAACTGACTTGACCTGATGTTATAGAGGCTACACTGGTCTTGTGTAAGTACTACTGACTTGACCTGATGTTATAGAGGCTACACTGGTCTTGTGTAAGTACAACTGTCTTGACCTGATGTTATAGAGGCTACACTGGCCTTGTGCAAGTACTACTGACTTGACCTGATGTTATAGAGGCTACACTGGGCTTGTGTAAGAACAACTGACTTGACCTGATGTTATAGAGGCTACACTAGTCTTGTGTAAGTACGACTGACTCGACCTGATTTTATAGAGGCTACACTGGTCTTGTGTAAGTATTACTGACTTGACCTGATGTTATAGAGGCTACACTGGTCTTGTGTAAGTACTACTGACTTGACCTGATGTTATAGAGGCTACACTGGTCTTGTGAAAGTACTGCTGACTTGACCTGATCTTATAGAGGCTACACTGGTCTTGTGAAAGTACATCTCACTTGACCCAATGTTATAGAGGCTACACTGGTCTTGTGTAAGTACAACTGACTTGACCTGATGTTATAGAGGCTACACTGGCCTTGTGTAAGTACAACTGACTTGACCTGATGTTATAGAGGCTACACCAGTCTTGTGTAAGTACAACTGACTTGACCTGATGTTATAGAGGCTACACTGGCCTTGTGTAAGTACAACTGACTTGACCTGATGTTATAGAGGCTACACTGGCCTTGTGTAAGTACAACTGACTTGACCTGATCTTATAGAGGCTACACTGGCCTTGTGTAAGTACGACTGACTCGACCTGATCTTATGTGGTATTGGGAGAAAAGGTACAGGTTATCAACTTGAGGATTGTGAGAATTTGAGGGAAATTCCCTACTGTGGATAAAATGGGCTTGTCCGATGTCACTGAGGTCGGATTCTATTGAGGGACTCATCATTATTTAAATAGGGGTTAACATTTTTAAAGCTTGTGGATTTTATCAACATCCTTAAAAAGGCTGTAAATAATGTTGATATTTCATATAAGAAATAAATGACTTGTGGTCATTGTTTATCATACAATAAAACACTGCAGGGAGAATAAACCACTTAGGGCTGCACCCCTCATGGTTTAGTTTCCCTGCAGTGTTTTATTGTACGTTAAACACCTCCAACTTGTCATTATTTCTTAATTAAAATGTCCTCACAACAATGTTTGACCTTTGCTCCCTACAGGGTTATTACATCACCATTCACGTGACCCCCGAGCCCCACTGCAGCTATGTCAGCTTCGAGAGTAATGTGCCACAGGTAGGACATTCAGGAATTACTCAGTACAGTTACCATAGAAACTGGCACTGTGAAACTTTTTGTAAAAGTGTGTTCTTTTCTTTCCATAATCACTAATACCCTGTACTGCATCTACAGGACACTGCTCTGCCGAACAGATTTTTGTGAAAAGTGTCTTGAATTGCTGATATTCTTTATTTTATTAGCAAGGAGAATTTTTTTTCATACCAATTGGTGCAAAAATGTTACCAATTTTAATTGTTAAAGAACCAGGGTGTCATGATATCAGTTTATGTTGTATTATATAGCTCTTGTGCAGATGTTTTCAAGATGTCTGTTTTCAGATTTTTCAGATTAGTATAATTTGGGTAATTAGATATTAGATATTGATGATAATTTGTCTAGAAATATTCATACACACAGTAATGGAAGAAATTCATTCAACATCATCAGTCATCGTGTGGAAAAATTATGCTCGTAATATTTCCGGAAATATGACATTTCGTGTTTTGGAAGTATATAGATTACAATACATATGTATATAGATATAGCTTTTGACGGTTGGTTAATTGTGTAGGGTTTCTGAGAAATATTGCATGGATATATTTGCAGGAGACTTACCAGGACATGATCGAGAAGGTTCTCAGTGTCTTCAACCCTGGCAAGTTTCTTATGACCATATTTGCCAATAAGGTAAGTTATTGGACATCCTCCTTCTCCTCCTCCTCCTCATCATCATCATCACCATAATCATCACCACAATCATCATCATCACCATAATCATCACAATCATCATCAAAATCATCATCATCCCATCAGACTCAATATAAAAATAAATAATGGGTTGACTATTGTGAATAAAATATTATAATGTCTCTCTTGAGATACTCATTTTAAAAATGACCAAGTCATCATTGTCTGTGTGTGGAAACATCATTAGCAAGGTCATAGGTTAGGCTAGGAAAAATAACTCAAATCTATAAAGTTGGAAAATGTTAAAATTCATAGAATTAAAGGTTTTTTTACAACACAAAACCTTTCACGGATGTTGACAAATATAGACTGTTTGTTTAGATGCGCCACACAATGATGAGGAAGCCTGTGTAACTTGTCTGTGTTGTGTTGTGTTGCAGGCCTCCCTTGCCCGGAACTCCCACCGAGACCTGGAGAAGAAGGAGCAGATGAAGGGCTACTTAGTCCAGGACCATCAGTACTGCCGCTTCAAGAACTACAATCTCACCTACTCCTTCTTCACCCGCCCTGTCATTTAGGAGAGAACGTGCAGGGGTCCCACCAGGCGCAGCGTTGTTGCTGATGCTGCACCTGGAACCTTGGTTTGTGTCTGCAAACCCGCGGGACCTGACTGCACACGTCGTAGTTTCCTTCCCTTCGTAGACTTTTGCCTCTCTATTGCTTTTGTACATACTGTGTTTGTTGTGTGTGTGTTTGTATGGAACTCTCGAAAGAACAGAAAGAAGCACAAGATTTTGTGCGGGTACATCACCCGTACACCCAGATAAAGTTTGCATGCGGATTCTGACTGAGCTAATCCAGGTCACCGCGTGATCATGCATGCATGCATGCGCTAATCGTTCTCCGGGACGATGCAAGGCAGTCAGCAGTGTTTGTACCTGCCTCATGCCCCAACACATACGTGTAGACTCTCACAGCACTTACTCAGGAGACCTGGTCAGAGGTGGCATTGGAGAGGGGTTTTTTTAATTAAAAAGTGCAAAAAAATGGAGGTTCATCACCGAACTGCATAGATTTCTGTTATGGTTACAGCAGATTACATAGCATGATACAAAATCATGAAACATGATTCAATATATATATTCTTCAAAATTTTGTAATTCCCACAATTTATCAATTCTGAATTTTATAAAAATTACTGTAAGTAGCTAACTTTTACATGCAATTCTGAATTCTGTATACTTATATTTCACTACTAAGTAAAGTAGTTTTTGGAAAAACTAGTTTCCACAAGCGTTGTGGTTGCATGGCACACATCAGTGATAAAACTGTTCCTAATACAGGAATATTGCTAAAAGCGGCGTAAAACCATACTCACTCACTCCTAATACATGACATTATTCCTCCTGTCCAGGTCTCCCAAGAGTACAAGCGCTCTCTGTTCTTCCGAGGGTGTCATCTCACATCCGTGTGCTTGGTGTAGGGTTGTATTGAAAACTTGGAATGTTGCTTCTGTGATGGAATACAGTGAGACCCTGCTAATCCGGAAACCGTGCCTTTTCCACAAGACAGAAAAAATGTGTTGCCATTTTGATTGACTAGTCAATGATCAATTGATCTGGATCCAGAAGTCTTGCCTTTTGTCCAATAATAAACTGAAGAAATATTTCGCTATTTTGATTGACTCATTAATGGTTAAATCCGAATCTGGAAGTCTTGCCTTTTGTGCAAAAATGAACAGGAAAAATATGTTGCTATTTATATTGATTCATTCATGATGAAATCCATTTCTGGAAATCTTGACTTTCACGCACAATTGAACAAGAAAAATATGTTGCTATTTTGATTGACTCATTAATGATGAAATCTGGATCGGGGTCTGGAAATTGGTACGAGAAAGTGTCGTAACTCTGACAGATACGTCAGTCAGTCAAGAGAAGCGGCAACATGAACAGCTATGATCACCTTTGTTTCTCAGCAAGTCACTGTTCTCTGACCAACTAATATTTATTCTGGCCAATAAACTTAAAAACAATGTGTCCATATTAACAGGGTTCCACTGTACAGATTTCCCTCTGTGACATTCTCAACAAGGGAGACAACTAGTGGTAATCAGTCCGTGCTGGAACTAAAGTCAGTTCAACATACATCAAAGTCAGGGAATGTCAAGTAAAATGTTCTGATTTTATTCTTCTCTTGAGTAATAACGTTCAACCTACCAGAGAGTTATACTGTCAGCATGACCAATGTTTTGCTTTGTTGGACTTTGTTACAAAGGACATTACAAATAATTCCATAAAAACAGACTAAGTCTGCCAAATTCTTAAAAGCAGGCCTAGATGACGCTGAGTTGTTAACTCTATGCTGGTCTGATTAACTCCCTGAGTTGAAGCTGCTAAAACAATTCAGTATGTTTGTTTCTTTCAGCTTAACTGGTTTACCACAGTTTCTGCTCTGTAGCAAACAAATATTGATTGCTTCTGTATTTAGCCAAAACAGTCTGCTATGTAGGTTTGCTAAGTTGAAACAGACAGGATTAGCAGCAGCAAGCTTAGACAATGAAATGACAACATCATGTTTGGCCATAAATGGAAAGTCTTCATCATTTGTAGTATCTTTTCACAGAAAGCAATGGAAGGTATACTGCTCAACTTTTGCCAAGAACCACACCTTTGACAAAAAATTAAAATTTTGGCCTTTAGCAAATGTTGAGCGGTATACAAGCCTTGTTCTGTTCCAGCTTGCTCATGTCTGACTTTCTTCTTGTATGGTTCATTCCAAAATCTGTTTTCATCTTTTGGGGTATTTTTGATAACTAAGCAATTTTTTGCAATATGATAAAATGATGAAGAATGGATTGAGTGATGTCATATGACAAATCACCACATGATGGTAAGGTGACATGAGACTGCAGAATGATGCAGATGCTGTAGATAGTTGGAACAACAATCATTAATGATGGAGTGTGATTTATCATCCAAAACTGACTTCCTCGGGAGATATCATTTGGGTGAGATGAAGTGATAGCTCCTAGGAGATATTGGCACAACGAAATTGCATCACAATGTTTTGCAGACTATTTTGACGTGCAAACCAAATGTCATCACTAATCTGTCTGCCACTGGAGCTGGTCAGCTGTACTGACTACGCTCAAGACACTGCTGTACTTATTACTGTTTACAAGCTAAAAAAGATGGAGGAATGATATTGGATGATGAATAGCATCTCATCCTCGTGACTTAGACATAAAAAATGTCAACACTCTTTGATAAAAGGAAGATAACTTATGGGTGTCAACGTCTTTATGATGAGGACCACAGGAGTATATGCTTCCCCCTTCATCAGGTGGACTCCGAAACGTTGTGTTCCTCATTATAAAGCAGTTGATATCCATAAATTATCTATCTACCGTTTGTGTATCACTTCTAAATGCCTTTCAAAGACTTGACTCTTTGATAAAGTTTTTAAACCCCTCGGCAAGCCTCGCAGTCTTTAACTTTGATTGACTTGTGTTGACATATTGGATATCATAAGACCCTCCAGTGAGATCCTTTATAAACCAGGTACAGTCACTCTAGGGAGGATGTAAATGAAGTATATCCAGTCAGTGTGTAGCTCTGGTTGATAGCATGAAGTAGAGGTATTCTCTCACAGATAATATTTCAGATTTTAATCCCAATCTCCATGATTAGTGTCTGTTTTCAGTTGATGTCTAGACATTGTAATTAGAGACAACTGTCAACTTGACTGATATACATTGTCAAATTTCAGTTTGTAGTCTGAAGTAATTTGAAATCTGTTGTGACCGCCAGTTGGTTAGAGCCTGTTATGCTTTTGGAATTCTATGTATTTCCTAGTATGGAAATCATTAATGCAAAGATCTGATCTAGTTTTTGAATCACCTTTAGAATTGATACTCATAAGAGAGAAATAAGGATGTCAACTTCTTTATTACGAGGAAAACAACATTTTAGAGTAATACTCCTTCATTGGGTGAATGATTGCCAGGGTGCAGAGAGAATATATGTACTGGTACATGTAAAAACAATGAAAGGAGTACGATAACAAAGGTGGAAACTAACACGGGAAGTCAACAGTTAATTAGCGGCTATTGGTGATTAGCAATAAACAAATAAATGGAAACCAGGGGTGCTAAGTTTCCACTTTTATTGTTGGCATCCATAAATTCTCTCACTTAAGTCTGATCTACGAAAAAACTTATTAATAGTATCAGACAGAAGCATGGATCCAGGTGGGGGTAAGCAGGTGTACACACCTCTCTTTTTGAAACATACTGTAGATTTGGAAATCGTGGAGGTGATAGGGTGTATAAGGGTGTAACAATTCTATGACAAACTCATTTTGGGATATACTTGCAAAAAAGTAAATGACTAACAAATGGAAATTGCTTCATCAGGTTATTTGCTTTCATCTCACACTTGTACTTGCTAAATGCATCCCTCCATTTCCAAGTGTGTGTCCATGCTTGGACATACATCATGGCAGGAAGGAGGTTGAACCAGTTAGACTACCTGTGTGAAAAGGTAACGGTCTACAGAATTCGCATGATGACCTTTTTTAGGTTATCTGCTCTTAGTATATGTTATCCAATCAGAGGCAAGAATACAGAGCAAAAGACTTCAGATCACTTGAAAGATCTTCTGATTGGCCATGATCAAACACAGGTGGCAGATTCTTTTCTTAAATTATCAGTATTGGTTGGTTATCATGATGGCCACTGTTTGTCTCTGAATCTTTCACAGGTGTAAAGAGTATGTTATGACGTTCAAGTTAAAAGAAACTGTTGTATTTTGGAAGGAAACACAACTATAGCTTTTTGCTTGTTTACTTGATGTTATTTAGAGGGAAACTTTGCCTGCATATTTCAGTGTTGTAACATTGTTGTTTAGTTTCAACACGTTTATGGCTAAATAATTACTTGATTCTGCCTACTTATAATACTACATACAGAAATATTGTATACAGAAATATATGTACACATTTACATGATTAATAGGCAACAAATCATTTGTCGGAGCTGTTTTAATACTTTCTTCATTGACTAGAAGGAAAGACATGAAGCTATGTATCCATGTTTCCGGGGCTTTGTTCATGATGTACCTTATCAGAATAGGTTTATTTGATGCATGGAGCTGAATGTTTTCGATGGTTTCACAGCCATGAGGGTACTTGTGGTTCTTCAAGACATCAAAATATAATATTAATTTTTATCTCCAGAGTTTTTAACTTTTCATTTTTAATGTTAAAATATCTGTTTTTCTGACTCTCAAGATGACCATAAGTAGTTTCAGGTTTGTTTGATCATTGATATAGAAACTTCACTTCAGATGTTGTAGTGACCAAATGTAGGCCTTGGATTTATGATTGCAATTAGATTACCTAACATTTGTTTTTAAGGCTTAGTGAGCTACAATGCCCTTGGGAATATGTCTTAAGGACCGTTTGGGGTAATGAGACTCATAATTGTTGCCATTGTTACTTATATATTTGTTGAATTCACACAGTTGAAACTATTCTGTCTTGAAAAGAGGTATGTTCACAGCATGTAGAAAGCAAAGGTTATGGTAGAATTGATGAGTTTAACTGAACATGTTCAAGATATTTTCATTAAAACTGTATTAACAGTGTATCTATTTAAAGGCCACAACAAATGAACTGTTTGATTGGCACTCTAGAAGTTGGTGAGGAAGTAAGAAAACACACACCTTAATGGATAACAACATCTTCTTGTTCTGGTTCTGTTGAATAATAAATTAAAAATAACATTGCAAAAAGTGATATTTAAGTATTTGAAACTGATAAAAATAAACTACTGTTTCAAACTTTGCAAGATTTTATCCCACATTTTTGACAATTTGGATCAGTAGGCCTGTAAACCTGGTGTCGGATGTAGCCCACATGGATGTAACTAACACTGTTCACAGCAGCCGTGAAGAGATTCAGTGTTTCATGGTTCATCCTGATTATATGTACCAGGTTGAGATGTTACTGCATCTTATGTACATGTTCATACTCAGAATTATGTATTTTTAATGCTATATTTGGATTTAGAAACGTTAATGCTAACGTCCTCTGTTCGAAAGTTGTATATCATGTAACCTAGATATATAAAACTGGTCTTGGTAACAATGCTTGGGGTTGACAGAATGTATTCTGATGTATTGTTAGACAAACCTACTTGATTCTCTAATCTAATATCAATATGTAATTTATAAAAGAATCTGCTAAATTTAATTTTATAAATAAAAATGATTTGACATTATTTCAATTGTGAGATGACAAATGTTTACATAATATTTGATTGTATGCATGTGTATGTGTATTTGTTAAACTAAGTCAAGTTTCTATTGAAATATGTGTGGCCTTCACTACAATCTTGCCATGATGAAGAGCTTTTAGGAATCTAGAAGTATTTTGTTTTCATTTTGACTTTGTATTGGATATTTTTGACATTGTTATCCCCAAACCATTAAAATGGGCATGTTAAGATTTGAAATATTTCTATTATTTTGAGACCTTTGAAGAAATTTTTTATAAAATTGAAATGTTACCATGGTTACCATCTTGTTTTGAAGTAGATACTCACACAGATTCATGAAGATTTACATCTTGTTACCTATATCAATGTTTGTTAGAGTAGAAGTCTTCCAAGCGAATATAACTCATCATTAACATCAGTTAATATTCAAAACTCAAATAAGGCAATTTATTCCAGATTTTATGTTTTTCTCTGTTAATTGATGTTATTTGATATTCAATAAATATATTTCTGATCAAAAAACTGTTCTGAAGTGTTTGTCATTAATGAATGTTGCCCAACACAGCAATATTCCTGAAAATAGTCAAATCTTGACCTGGTAGTCCAGCAGTTGATAGCATGATCATCCACATTGTTGGGTACAGTGACACACAATCAGCCAGGTCACACATTGTTGGCTACAGTGTCACACAATCAGCCAGGTCACACATTGTTGGCTACAGTGTCACACAATCAGCCAGGTCACACGTTGTTGGGTACAGTGTCACACAATCAGCCAGGTCACACATTGTTGGCTACAGTGACACACAATCAGCCAGGTCACACGTTGTTGGCTACAGTGTCACACAATCAGCCAGGTCACACATTGTTGGCTACAGTGACACACAATCAGCCAGGTCACACGTTGTTGGGTACAGTGTCACACAATCAGCCAGGTCACACATTGTTGGCTACAGTGACACACAATCAGCCAGGTCACACGTTGTTGGCTACAGTGTCACACAATCAGCCAGGTCACACATTGTTGGCTACAGTGTCACACAATCAGCCAGGTCACACATTGTTGGCTACAGTGACACACAATCAGCCAGGTCACACGTTGTTGGCTACAGTGTCACACAATCAGCCAGGTCACACATTGTTGGCTACAGTGTCACACAATCAGCCAGGTCACACATTGTTGGCTACAGTGTCACACAATCAGCCAGGTCACACATTGTTGGCTACAGTGTCACACAATCAGCCAGGTCACACGTTGTTGGCTACAGTGTCACACAATCAGCCAGGTCACACATTGTTGGCTACAGTGTCACACAATCAGCCAGGTCACACATTGTTGGCTACAGTGACACACAATCAGCCAGGTCACACGTTGTTGGGTACAGTGTCACACAATCAGCCAGGTCACACATTGTTGGCTACAGTGACACACAATCAGCCAGGTCACACGTTGTTGGCTACAGTGTCACACAATCAGCCAGGTCACACATTGTTGGCTACAGTGTCACACAATCAGCCAGGTCACACATTGTTGGCTACAGTGACACACAATCAGCCAGGTCACACGTTGTTGGCTACAGTGTCACACAATCAGCCAGGTCACACATTGTTGGCTACAGTGTCACACAATCAGCCAGGTCACACATTGTTGGCTACAGTGACACACAATCAGCCAGGTCACACGTTGTTGGCTACAGTGTCACACAATCAGCCAGGTCACACATTGTTGGCTACAGTGACACACAATCAGCCAGGTCACACGTTGTTGGGTACAGTGTCACACAATCAGCCAGGTCACACATTGTTGGCTACAGTGACACACAATCAGCCAGGTCACACGTTGTTGGCTACAGTGTCACACAATCAGCCAGGTCACACATTGTTGGCTACAGTGTCACACAATCAGCCAGGTCACACATTGTTGGCTACAGTGTCACACAATCAGCCAGGTCACACGTTGTTGGCTACAGTGACACACAATCAGCCAGGTCACACTTTGTTGGGTACAGTGTCACACAATCAGCCAGGTCACACTTTGTTGGCTACAGTGTCACACAATCAGCCAGGTCACACATTGTTGGCTACAGTGTCACACAATCAGCCAGGTCACACATTGTTGGCTACAGTGTCACACTATCAGCCAGGTCACACTTTGTTGGGTACAGTGTCACACAATCAGCCAGGTCACACTTTGTTGGGTACAGTGTCACACAATCAGCCAGGTCACACATTGTTGGCTACAGTGACACACAATCAGCCAGGTCACACATTGTTGGCTACAGTGTCACACTATCAGCCAGGTCACACTTTGTTGGGTACAGTGTCACACAATCAGCCAGGTCACACTTTGTTGGGTACAGTGTCACACAATCAGCCAGGTCACACATTGTTGGCTACAGTGTCACACAATCAGCCAGGTCACACTTTGTTGGGTACAGTGTCACACAATCAGCCAGGTCACACTTTGTTGGGTACAGTGTCACACAATCAGCCAGGTCACACATTGTTGGCTACAGTGTCACACAATCAGCCAGGTCACACATTGTTGGCTACAGTGTCACACTATCAGCCAGGTCACACATTGTGACCAACAGATCCTCATTTAGTAACCTTGTATGGGATCTAGTACATGCCTCTGTGTCCCCAGAGTCAATTACCTGTTGATGTCACATTTAGCTAGAATTCGGTATCACAAGTGTTTCATTGCACAAATCCTCTGTAAACGTTTCAACAAGGGAGACAACTGGTGTTAATCATTCCCATTCAGAACTAAAGGCAATTCAAAGCCTGCAGTTGGAAATTATCTGATGATGTCATAGTGCAGACTGACATATAGTCCCAGAAATAAAATTATCTTACTTGAAAAATATATTTCTACAAAATAAAACATAAATTCCAAATGTAGCTCAGAACGATCCTTAATATCAACTAGGGCAATCTAGACTTGTCAAATCATTCTAGACTTGAGTTGGACTTTCTAACGCGATGTCCAACTCCGTGTCCACGTGAGTGAAAGGCAAGGATGTCACCTGCCATATCAACATAATCTAATACATCATAGCTGCATGCCTGGTAGCCTTGCTCCAAGGTTACACTGATAGAAAGGTCCATGGATGTGTTATAATTCTATCCTGATAATAGGCAAGTCTGGATAAGCGGACAGTTCTAAGGAAGCCAGTTGTATGGGGACAACTTGTTCTTATTATGTATATAATTTAGAAATTATTATTTAAAACTAATAGATATTGCCTTAGAGACTTGCCTGGGTGATGTTTTACATAACGACCTTAGCGCAACAACTGCCGTAATTCAATGTTAAGGAATGGAAGTTACGATCACCTTATCGCTAAGATCGCTTTGTACAACGGCACCCACAACATTAGGCAGGGACAGACTGACCAGTTATGTTTTCCTGTATATTTCTGAGTCAATATTAAATTATCTCACACACACACACACACACACACACACACACACACACACACACACACACACACACACACACACACACACACACACACACACACACACGACCCCATCCTCTGCAAGATTATCAAATGGTAGGTCCATAACGTTCCAAAATAAGTTTTCTATGGGTCGATGAGTCCTTATACGAACTTGACAGAATTTCTCTATGGTAAATGGAACAGTTTGCACTGAATGTGTACTCATACGAGTTTCTACATAAATACTTCAGTTTAATTGTTTGTTTGTTGTTTAACGCCGCACTCAGCAATATTCCAGCTATATGATGCCGGTCTGTAAATAATCGAGTCAGGACCAGACAATCCAGCGATTGACATCATGAGCATTGATCCACGCAATTGGGATCGATGACATGTATCAACCAAGTCAGCGAGCCTGACCACCCGATCCCGTTAGTCGCCTCTAACGACAAGCATAGTCGCCTTTTATGGCAAGCATGGGTTGTTGAAGATCTATTCTACCCCAGATCTTCACGGGTCAGATGTGATTCTTCAATATCGTTTATTTTTCTTTAATCATATGATTGGATTAAAACTCTGCGTATTTCCGCAATGTAAACGTGATAGATCAGGAATGATACAAATATGCTGTGCTCACAATGGCGCGCAGTATAGTTTTTCATAACATATGATACATATTATGATACGGATCAAACACACTCGGCAACAGAACAGACACGTGCGCCTTCATACAATTTACGTTTCAGGTCTCAAATGAGTTAGTGAGTTGGGTTTAACGCCGCTTTTAACATTATTCCAGTTATATGACGGCGTGTCAGCTTAATGTTGGAGGAAAGCCCGAAGTGATGCAGGTCCTTATACCTTTGCCTCTCCGGTGAAACCCACGAGCACGGGTATGGTGCTGATAAACCTAGAAACATAATCGGGGCGAGCCGGGATTCGAACCCACAGTCATAGGTTTCTGGCGTGCCCAAGGGAGGCAATTCTGCACAGACGACTGGGCCACCCGTGCCCCCTTACAGGCCTCGAAAACTACTGACCTTATAATTCTCATTTTATTCCACATTTCTTTAAAATTGTGCAAGCTCCTCACAGGTATACATCATTCTCTGCAGATAAATGAAAGCTGCACGCTTCGTAATGGAGCTTATCTGGACGAACGGGAGACAACTCTGGGCGAACTCGTTTTTCTTGAAACTTGAAACACAACAGTATTATAGGAGCTCATTGATCATATCAAACTTTGGTGTATTAACGCCCGGCTCACATGTGTCACCTTGAAAAAACTTGCGAATTTACATCGTCACCTACATTTTCATCACTCGTGACCAACTCTCGTTATTCCGGGACAGGCAGGTTACGGAAAGAGGCGAGAAGTGACGAATGAAATTTTGATATGTTACAATGACGTCATAATATCGTGACGTCACAGTTCAAAGTTCATCACATCGTAGTATTGTTCTGCTAGCCCGCTGGAACAAAGACCGCTCTTGTGTTTTGAGACGTTTCATCAGTAAATTGCTCCACACAGGAATCGGACGCCGTCAAGGTGAGCACAAGAGAATACCTGGTCTTTTTAGACTTCCTGTGATTATATTTACCTACTTTACCACACTGAAATCTAAAAAAATGTTTCAAACCTGTGAGGCGGGAGGCATTGTATTTTACAGACATATATTATTTTTCAACAAACTGTTCAACGCATGTGGTTACATGAAGCGTGATTGTTTGGTAGTTCTATTGTATGGTTATATAAGAAACAAGACAAAACACGTAGCGATTTTCTTCGCCGTTGGTACTTAGGGACAGTAAAAAATTGTAAGTTGGGGTGATTGTGTTTTCAGTGAGGCGGTCGGGGATGAAAATCTAAACATTAATGTGTCAGCCGTTTCTGAATCAACGGTCTGATTCATTAATGAGGCCACACCAATTAATCTCTGGTTCATAGATACTTATTTATTAATATTTAAGTAAATAAATATTAGCATCCGCCACGATAACCTATTAAATTCTCAAACCTTCCAAAAAGTGTTAATTTCAAAACAAACTTTAAACTGATTAAATAATGAATTCGTTTTAACGAGGGCCAACAATGATCCCAGCGCTGTTGTATCTAAAATACGTTCACATAAATTTACAATCGTTGTATTCCGTTATGGTCACAAGTGTAAGTGTTTCCTTATATATACCTGGGTGCCGTTATACTAAACACCCACAGCGCTACGACTGTCGTAAGTCTATGTTAAAATGTGGGAGTTACGATCACCTTAGCGCTATAGAGGTCCAAACACATGTACAGTGTTTACAGGGCGAGTAGAACCAAATACCAAGGATTAAAAATATGGATTGAAAAGTATATTTTATGGCGCTGCACCTCTTTTCTCTAGCAAATCAACAACTTTAACTACTATTAATGGTCTGAAAATACGAAAACATAGCGTTAATGATGCTCACGTTTCCATTATAACATATATCTATACTGAGGTATAGTTTTTACACTTGATATGCTTTGAATTTATGCATATGCATGCTTTTGTGTAATTACATAATAACTCAACACATCATGTGGTTCATTAATTCAGTCACCAAGTTATTTTCTTTTCGGGAGGGTGGTTGGATGTAAACAGCAACATTTTTTACTGATTGGCGCAAACTATTGCGAAGCGACATGCCACACTCTATAACATATTAATCTACATGCTAACTAGCTTTTATGAATAAAGCATATGTCATACATATTTAACTGATCAAAACATTGTTGATTTTTTTAATAACTGAAACTATTTTTTGAAAACAGTGTGACATCCAGGAAGCTAGGAAATGTCGACAGTCGTACCTGCAGCGACACAAAAGGACATCTTGTCCTCGTCGTCCTCGGTCTTGTCCCCTATTTCCTCTCCTGAAAGCATTACTCGCAAAACAAAACAGCCTTCCAAAGTGAAGACCCGGTTAGACACGCAGCCACACAATGTTGCGTCACGTGAAGATGCAGTAATTAATTCCGAGGACTACCGTTACATCATGTCAACATCGGCATCTGACTTAAGTTCCTCTCAATCGTCATCCAAGACTAGTCCTGGGAGACCTAAAGCCAAAAAGCAAGCACGGGTAGATAACTCCATCAAACCTGGAGACTACAAATATATCATGGAGACATCGGCGTCTGACTTAAGTTCTTCCCCATCGTCATCCAAGACTAGTCCTCGGAGACCTGAAGCTTCCGCCAAAGAGCCAGCACGGGTAGATAACTCCATCAAACCTGGAGACTACAAATTTATCATGGAGACATCGGCGTCTGACTTAAGTTCTTCCCCATCGTCATCCAAGACTAGTCCTCGGAGACCTGAAGCTTCCGCCCAAAAGCCAGCACGGGTAGATAACTCCAACAAACCTGGAGACTCCAAATATATCATGAAGACATCGGCGTCAGACGTGTCGTCATCTCCATCATGCAAGATTCTTCGTGAATCTGTCGGAGCATCTGCTTCGCCCTCTAGGCGCTCTCACAGCAGTCCTCGTGAATATGAAAGAGGATCTGACAAACCAGATGGCAGTTGCTGCACATCACCAACGTCATCTCCATCGCCATACCCAAGGTCTCTTACAGGGTCCAGGGAATCTGTCTTGTCGTCTGAAATTCTAAGCAGCGTCTCCTCTGATTCTGAGAAAGTATTCGACCCCTTCGCGAAGGACCACCTTCAGCCCAGACTTTCCCCGAGGGAGCCATCTGTGGACGTTCATTTCCCAGTCGCTGAAACAGTGTCCGAGGTATCCCTGGCAAACAGGAGCGATGAATCATGGTTTACCGACTCCAGGGAGTCGAACAGTTTCCACCAGGACGCACTACACATACGTAAGCTGATGCTGGACCTGGCCTGGGTCTGTGACAGGCAACAGCCCATGTCGGACTGGGTGTCCTCTGTTATCGTGTGGGATGATGACGGTAAGTGATTCCATCAGTAGTTGGAACATCATCAGAGTAGTATCGAAAGAGAGTGAGTGAGTCGTTTTTAACAATATTCCTGCTTCATCACAGAGAGGACACCAGAAATAGGCACCACACATTGAACCAACACTACATGGATGAGCTGAAACATTTGTGAATTATATTGTGTATTGTCTTTTCTAGCTTTGCCATTATTTTTCTAAGTAGCAAATATGTTGATAACGAAGTTACATATGTAGTAGATGTAGTAGACGTAGTAGATATGTTGTAGATTTGATCATTCTTGTTTCTGTCTCAAAAGTTGCAAGCAACTTGGGTGTGGACTCTCTCCTGATCAGACTGAAGAACCGGTTTCAGGTGAGTCCAGTGATGTCTCTTGTCCATCTCAGTGATGGCCAGCTTCCTTACAAATACCAAGGCTTGGCAATTTAAAAAAGACAGAATATGTTTTCGCCCATTGCATCATGACATAGCATTTCTTTCTATGACAGGCAGAGCCAAACGGTTTTTGGTGATCCAAAACACATTTTATTTCAGGGCTTCCAGAAAACAATACCTTTTTGGTTAAAACTTGAGACTTAATTATCTTAAACTAAGTTTAAATGCCAGGATTTAGGAGAACGACATATATTATTTCAAAATAATCCCAGAATATCAAATGGTGTGTATATTTCCCCTACCCAATGATATTTTCCTTGTTGATTTCATCACTGTAATATCCGCTGAAATATCAACCTACTTTTCTTACCAGAGCACTTGGTGGCGCCTGACAAGGGGGAGGGAGACTCGGGTCCAGATCCTCAAGAAATCCAGCTCAGCATCCGGAGGCGGCATCAGCGGTGAGTACAGGGGTATTTGTTTAGCTGTTCGACAAGTTTAGAACGCCCCATTGAGGCGAATTCGAACGAACGAAACCAAGGATACCTTTGTTGAACAGTAACAACAAATAGTTGAATATTAACATTACGTGTCAATGAAACGTTCTGTTGTCCTGAAGTTGCATTTCCTGTCTGTAGGTGGAGACGAGGACAAGACACCACATAAAGAGAAGCTGCAGAAGAGAGTGCAGAGGTTCATGTCCCGGTTCTTCATTTGTGGAGGACCATCACAGGCCTAGACACAGTCAGTGTTCGGCCCAGACTAAGTGCAGGTGTCTCTATCAGGCCGAGACACAGTGCCGGTGTCTCTGTCAGGCCCAGACACAGTGCCGGTGTCTCTGTCAGGCCTAGCCACAGTGCCGGTGTCTCTGTCAGGCCCAGACACAGTGCCGGTGTCTCTGTCAGACCGAGACACAGTGCCGGTGTCTCTGTCAGGCCCAGACACAGTGCCGGTGTCTCTGTCAGACCGAGACACAGTGCCGGTGTCTATGTCAGGCCCAGACACAGTGCCGGTGTCTCTATCAGGCCCAGACACAGTGCCGGTGTCTCTGTCAGGCCTAGCCACAGTGCCGGTGTCTCTGTCAGTCCCAGACACAGTGCCGGTGTCTCTGTCAGTCCCAGACACAGTGCCGGTGTCTCTATCAGGCCGAGACACAGTGCCGGTGTCTCTATCAGGCCTAGCCACAGTGCCGGTGTCTCTGTCAGGCCCAGGCACAGTGCCGGTGTCTTTGTCAGGCCCAGGCACAGTGCCGGTGTCTCTGTCAGGCCCAGACACAGTGCCGGTGTCTCTGTCAGACCGAGACACAGTGCCGGTGTCTCTGTCAGGCCCAGACACAGTGCCGGTGTCTCTGTCAGACCGAGACACAGTGCCGGTGTCTATGTCAGGCCCAGACACAGTGCCGGTGTCTCTGTCAGTCCCAGACACAGTGCCGGTGTCTTTGTCAGGCCCAGACACAGTGCCGGTGTCTCTGTCAGTCCCAGACACAGTGCCGGTGTCTCTGTCAGTCCCAGACACAGTGCCGGTGTCTCTATCAGGCCTAGCCACAGTGCCGGTGTCTCTATCAGGCCTAGCCACAGTGCCGGTGTCTCTGTCAGGCCCAGGCACAGTGCCGGTGTCTTTGTCAGGCCCAGGCACAGTGCCGGTGTCTCTGTCAGGCCCAGACACAGTGCCGGTGTCTCTGTCAGACCGAGACACAGTGCCGGTGTCTCTGTCAGGCCCAGACACAGTGCCGGTGTCTCTGTCAGACCGAGACACAGTGCCGGTGTCTATGTCAGGCCCAGACACAGTGCCGGTGTCTCTGTCAGTCCCAGACACAGTGCCGGTGTCTTTGTCAGGCCCAGGCACAGTGCCGGTGTCTTTGTCAGGCCCAGACAGAGTGCAGGTGTCTTTGTCAGTCCAAGCCACAGTGCCGGTGTCTCTGTCAGTCCCAGACACAGTGCCGGTGTCTCTATCAGGCCTAGCCACAGTGCCGGTGTCTCTGTCAGGCCGAGACACAGTGCCGGTGTCTCTGTCAGTCCCAGACACAGTGCAGGTGTCTCTGTCAGGCCGAGACACAGTGCCGGTGTCTCTATCAGTCCCAGACACAGTGCCGGTGTCTCTGTCAGACCGAGACACAGTGCCGGTGTCTATGTCAGGCCCAGACACAGTGCCGGTGTCTCTATCGTGTAGCTACATCCTGTGTATATTAAATTGACGTGCTTTATGATGTAGCCACATCCTCTGTATACTAAATGGGCGTGCCTTATCATGTAGCTACATCCTGTGTATATGAAATGTTCGTGCCTTATCGTGGTTATATCCTGTGTATATTAAATGGGCGTGCCTTATCATGTAGCCACATCCTGTGTATATGAAATGTTCGTGCCTTATCGTGTAGCTACATCCTGTGTATATTAAATGGGCGTGCCTTATCATGTAGCTACATCCTGTGTATATTAAATGGTCGTGCCTTATCATGTCGCTACATCCTGTGTAAATTACATGGGCGTGCCTTATCATGTAGGTACATCCTGTGTATATGAAATAGGCGTGCCTTATCATGTAGCTACATCCTGTGTACATTAAATGGTCGTGCCTTATCATGTCGCTACATCCTGTGTAAATTACATGGGCGTGCCTTATCATGTAGGTACATCCTGTGTATATGAAATAGGCGTGCCTTATCATGTAGCTACATCATGTGTACATTAAATGGTCGTGCCTTATCATGTCGCTACATCCTGTGTACATTAAATGGGCGTGCCTTACCATGTAGCGACATCCTGTGTATATTAAATGGTCGTGCCTTATCGTGTAGCTACATCCTGTGTATATTAAATGGGTTTGCCTTATCATGTAGCTGCATCCTGTGTCCATTAAATGGTCGTGCCTTATCATGTAGCTACATCCTGTGTATGTTAAATGGGCGTGCCATATCATGTAGCTACATCCTGTGTATATTAAATGGGCGTGCCATATCATGTAGCTACATCCTGTGTATGTTAAATGGGCGTGCCATATCATGTAGCTACATCCTGTGTATATTAAATGGTCGTGCCTTATCGTGTAGCTACATCCTGTGTATATGAAATGGGCATGCCTTATCATGTAGCTACATCCTGTGTATATTAAATGGTCGTGCCTTATCATGTAGCTACATCCTGTGTATATTAAATGGTCTTGCGTTATCACGTAGCTACATCCTGTGTATATTAAATGGTCGTGTTTTATCATGTAACTACATACTGTGTATATTAAGTGGTCGTGCTTTATAATTTAGCTACATCAAATGGTTATTTAATGGTCTTGTTTTATCATGTAGCTACACACTGTGTAAATTAAGTGGTCGTGCCTTATTATGTAGCTACACTCTGTCTATATTAATGGTCGTGCCTTATCATGTAGCTACATCCTGTGTATATTAAATGGTCGTGCCTTATCATGGAGCTACATCCTGTGTATATGAAATGGGCATGCCTTATCATGTAGCTACATCCTGTGTATATAAAATGGTCTTGCGTCATCACGTAGCTACATCCTGTGTATATTAAATGGTCGTGTTTTATCATGTAATTTCACACTGCGTATATTAAGTGGTCGTGCTTTATAATTTAGCTACATCAAATGGTTATTTAATGGTCTTGTTTTATCATGTAGCTACACACTGTGTAAATTAAGTGGTCGTGCCTTATTATGTAGCTACACTCTGTCTATATTAATGGTCGTGCCTTATCATGTAGCAACATCCTGTGTATATTAAATGGTCGTGCCTTATCGTGTAGCTACACTCTGTCTATATTAATGGTCGTGCCTTATCATGTAGCTACATCCTGTGTATATTAAATGAGCGTGCCTTATCATGTAGCTACATCAAATGTTTTTTTAATGGTCGTGCCTTATCATGTAGCTACACCCTGTGTATATTAATGGTCGTGCCTTTTCATATAGCTGTAGCTGGTGTTTATCAAATGTTATCTTGTAGCTACATCCGATGCATGTTATTTGGGCGTGTCTCCTCATGTACCTACATCTCATGTATATTTAGTGGACGTCCGTCTTCATGTAGCCTGTGTATCGTGAATAGGGTAATCTATTTACCTTGAGGTTGTGTGCCTGATCCCGTAAATACTAGTATCATATTACCTGCTTTATTCTGAATGTATTACACATACATTAATTTGTTTTCCAAATGTACCTGTCATGTGGTTTTAAATGGTAATGAAGGGTCTGTTAAAAAGAGTTATAAAAAAACTTAATAATCAAAAGAGGAAAAAAATTAATTCATGGGTTAAAAAAAAATCAATTGAGTTTAAATGCTTATAAATATAAAACTGAAAAATATGAAAATATAGATAAAAAGAGGAATACAAAAGCTTCAAAACATAAATATACTGAAATAAGGGGGGAAAACTAATGCGCGGATAAAAAAATCAAATTGAGTTGAAATGCTTATAAAAATATAACTAAAATATCTGAAATTATTAATAAAAAACCCATCTTATTTATGAATAAAAAGACCAACAATATAGAATATATTGAAATATACCCTGAACGTATAGTAAGCATAGGGTCACCTAGACTTATTTGTAATCGGTTGTACACCCTATATGAATAGCTTAGAGTGATTTGTCCACCTTAGTTGTGGGAGAGATGTAATCCCAACATAATTAGTTGTAAGAGAGTTGTGAACCCTATATTTATAATTTGTTGTGAGAGACATGTTCACCTCGGTTGTGAGAGAGTTGTCTACCTTAGGGCTGAGAGCGTTGTGCACCGTGGATGATTATACTGTGAAGTAGTTATACTTCTATAATAGTTGTTAGAGAAAAAAGGAAACTTGGTCTAACTGTAACGGTATTCGGCCACAATCTTTCTTAAGTTCCCGATTGTCAACACAAAATTCAATATGCAATAAAAGTGCTGATGGGCAGACGGTGTTATTGTCTTAATTCTGTGATATAATTACACTGCAAGATTCGTTGTCTGCAGTACCAGGGACAACTTGCACAAAACGATCTTAGAACTAAGATGATCATGACTCCCATACTTTAACATAGGCTTACAATAGTCGTAGCACTAAGATCGCTTTGTGCAAGTGGGCCCAGATGAAGTGGTAAGTAGAGCACCTCGGTACAACACGTGACTATGAAGCAGGTGATTGTATACATCCGATGAGGGAGTTACACGTGTTTATTTGTTTGTTGTTTGACGCCGCACTCAGCAATATTCCAGCTTAATCCAGCTATAGGCCTGTGGGGTACCTGTCTGGGGGAGGGTGCAGGCCACGGCTACATGTTGACGTTGCTGGCTACAAGGTGGTTCTGTACGATTCGGGCTGGCGTTGTCGTGCTGATAAAGAACACCGCGTGGTAGCTGTTTTAGGAATGTTTGGACAATCGGACGCAGAATGTCATCCACGTAACGCTGAGCTCTTAACGATGACCAGTGGTGTTCTTTCCTGCCAGCAAATTCCTCCCCACATTGCATCCCCTCCACCACACTCCACCCTCTGACGACGATGTTGCTCTGTCAATAACTGTCCTCTATAAGGACTGTAAGCCCTATATCCTTGAGATCCGAGTCGCCTGGTCACTGTCTGTTGACTTACCATACGCCCAAAGGCATTCGTCGCTGATGACGTCACTGTCAAGAATCGATTCCAGAGATGCAAAGTTCGCAAACACCGGTCTTCATTGGGCGTAGTTACTCTGGGTCTGCGTGTTGCCTGTCTGGTGTCTGCCCGGTCCATCTGTAACGTTGCATCAGGTTAGTTACAGCAACACGGGAGCAACCCCAAAAGTTCTAGCTACGTGGGCCTGGGTGGCTTCCATCTGTACCATACTCAGGGGACCCGTGAAGATCCAGGGTAGATTAGGTCTTCAGTAACCCGTGTTTGCTGCATAAGGCGATTATGCTTGTCGTAAGATGCGACTAACGGGATCGGGTGGTCAGACTCGCTGACTTGGTTGATGCATGTCATTGTGTCTAAATTGCGTGGATCAATCTCTGGATTGTTTGGTCCAGACTCGATTATTTACAGACCGCCATACATATAAAGTGTGTCGTTAAACAACAAACAACAACGACATACTAAGAGCCCTTCTCGCGTTGTTCGGGTCTGTTTACTTGAGCGCATGAATTGAATGGAAATTAATGGTTAATACTTGTGAGTGAGAGAGTTACAACGGCAATGTATCAGTCATATGTGGATGAGAACAAATTATGTATTCATTAAAACACTGCGCAGTAAAGAAACAAGGTAAATATCACAGATTTGATATAAAACAAACCAGATTGATTAAAGTTAAAAATCATATAGATAAACAGTTATTTTCGACACATGTTCACAATTTATGATACAGACCAATTCATGGTCAACTTCTTCCAGAATCATCAGTGTCAACGATCGGGGTTTATGTTATTTCTTTTAGTCCGACTGAACTTCATGAAAATGAAACAAAGGACACCAACTTTCTTATTTACAAGCTCCATACACCCCTTACATCGTTCTCTTGTTCCTAATATACCGGGAGGAAACGAAGGTGGCACGCGCTGAACTGCAGTTTGCTTGTTTTGATGTCGAACGAAGGGAGATAACTCTAATGGAACACGTTTTTCAAACATTTTGTTAAACACCAACAGAAGATGACCAGGGGTCATTGATATTATCAATCAAAGGAACGTTGATTATGAACACCCGACAGCCATCAACTAAATTAGTTTCAATATTGAAAACACCTTATTGTCGATTTTCATGTTACAATGACGTCATAGTAGCATGACGTCACAGGTCAAAGTTCATCACTTCGTAGTATTGTTCTGCGAGACCGCTGGCACAAAGGCAGCTCTCCTTTTTTAAGAAGTTTAATCAGTATATTACACCCCGCAGAGATCGGACACCTTCCAGGTAAGTACCAGAGTATACTACTTTCTTTTCTAGGCTTCCTGCGGTTGTATTTAATAGCTCCATATTGTTTCCCTAAAACACGACCGTGTCTGATGTGAGGTTGCGGTAAGAAAATGTTTGATGTGTATTAGGATCAACGGTTTTATCCATTTCTGAGGCCACATCAGCTGAGAACCGATTAATCTGTTCTATCTTTAACATTTTGTCCTCGTGTTCCAACTGATTAAATGGTTAATTTGCTTTAACCAGATCTTTTAAAACGCTATATAAGCGCGATAGTTGGTTTTAACCCCACTTTTAAAAGGATTCCAGTAATTTCACTGCGTGTTAGCTTACTGTGGGAATGTCCGAAGTGATGCAGGTCTCAGACGTTTACCACTTTGGTGAAACACACGAGCACGGGCATGGTGCCGAAAAACCTAGAAACATAATCGGGTCGAGCCGGGATTCGAACCCAAGATCATATACTATACTCCAATACCCCAACACAGACTTACACATGCGCGGGTCCGGATATCTATTTGTAAGGTTTCTTTCAATGGTGGCAGTAATAAACTTCAAAGATGGTAGAATGCCAGCGATAAGATAGTGTTTATTAATGAAACTTATTTTTTATGACACTGTACCTATTTTTCTAGCAAAGCAGGTACATTCGTAATTATAGTTACCTGTAAATCAGAAAATACGAAGACATATACACTCTTTAACATATTAATATGCTGACGTATAGTTTTCGCACTTGATATGCATTGAACGTATGCATACACATGGTACTTGATTTTGTGTAATCTTTTTTTCCGATTTTGCAACATGTAATTAACTTTTTTCGGTTCTGATTTTCTTGGGCCAAGACTACACTTTTTACTCACTGACGTAAACTTTGTTATGCAGATGACTTTTTAAAAATCTATGGCCTAACTAAAATTTATTAAAATATATCTTACGTAATACAGATTTAATTGCTTGATCAAACCGAGCCGAAAACTGATGTTTTTTTAATTTTCAAATACTATTTTTGAAAACAGTGTGACATCCAGGGATCCCACAATGTCCTCTGTCGAACTTGCTGAAAGACAGAAGGGCGAAGATGCAGTAATTAATTCCGAGGACTACCGTTACATCATGTCAACATCGGCGTCTGACTTAAGTTCCTCTCCATCGTCATCCAAGACTAGTCCTCGGAGACCTGAAGCTTCCGCCAAAATGCCAGCACGGGTAGATAACTCCATCAAACCTGGAGACTACAAATATATCATTGAGACATCGGCGTCAGACGAGTCATCATCTCCATCACGCAAAGGTCTTCGTGAATCTGTTGGAGCATCTGCTTCACCCTCTAGGAGCTCTCACAGCAGTCCTCGTGAATCTGACAGTGGATCTGACAAACCTGATGACAGATGCTACACTTCACCAACGTCATCTCCATTGCCACACCCAAGGTCTCTTACAGGGTCCAGGGAATCTGTCTTGTCGTCTGAAATTCTAAGCAGCGTCTCCTCTGACTCTGAGAAAGTATTCGACCCCTTCGCGAAGGACCACCTTCAGCCCAGACTTTCTCCGAGGGAGCCATCTGTGGACGTTCATTTCCCAGTCGCTGAAACAGTGTCCGAGGTATCCCTGGCAAACAGGAGCGATGAATCGTGGTTTACCGACTCCAGGGAGTCGAACAGTTTCCACCAGGACGCACTACACATACGTAAGCTGATGCTGGACCAGGCCTGGGTCTCTGACAGGCAACAGCCCATGTCGGACTGGGTGTCCTCTGTTATCGTCTGGGATGATGACGGTAAGTGATTCCATCAGTAGTTGGAACATCATCAGAGAGTGAGTGAGTGAGTGTTGTTTAATATCAGAAATAGGCATCACACATTGTACCAACATTACATGATGAGCTGAAACATATATATGAATTATGACAGGTATATTCACATAAAAGTATTTTCTCTAAGTAGCTTTGCTATCATTTTTTTCTTCCATTGAAGCAAATTTGTTAATAACGAAGTGACAGATATATATATATATATATATATAATAAAATAATAAAGATATATATATATATAAGATTCTTGTTTCTGTCTCAAAAGTTGCAAGCAACTTGGGTGTGGACTCTCTCCTGACCAGACTGAAGAACCGGTTTCAGGTCTGCCCGTGATTTCCGTGTTCTTGTCACTCAGCGACCTCTCATTGCTTCAAGACATACAAGACATCTTTCTTAACGACAAACGGAACAACTCTAGGGGTCAATTATAGTGAACGCTCCAGTGAAGAATTTCATTTTTGAGGGGTAAAACTGGAAACTTAATTATTTTTAGGCCTTTTCCAAAGACTCTGGGGAAACGTTTTTAGAATACTCCCAGAAGAGCCAATGGTCGGCCCCAACTAAGTGATATTTTCCTTGTTGTTTTCGTCATAATGATATCCGCTGAAATATCAACCTACTTTTCTTACCAGAGCACTTGGTGGCGCCTGACAAGGGGGAGGGAGACTCGGGTCCAGATCCTCAAGAAATCCAGCTCAGCATCCGGAGGCGGCATCAGCGGTGAGTACAGGGGTATTTGTTTAGCTGTTCGACAAGTTTAGAACGCCCCATTGAGGCGAATTCGAACGAACGAAACCAAGGATACCTTTGTTGAACAGTAACAGCAAATAGTTGAATATTAACATTACGTGTCAATGAAACGTTCTGTTGTCCTGAAGTTGCGTTTTCTGTCTGTAGGTGGAGACGAGGACAAGACACCACACAAAGAGAAGATGCAGAAGAGAGTGCAGAGGTTCATGTCCCGGTTCTTCATTTGTGGAGGACCATCACAGGCCTAGACACAGTCAGTGTTCGGCCCAGACTAAGTGCAGGTGTCTCTATCAGGCCCAGCCACAGTGCAGGTGTCTCTGTCAGTCCCAGACACTGTGCCGGTGTCTCTGTCAGGCCTAGCCACAGTGCCGGTGTCTCTGTCAGGCCCAAACACAGTGCAGGTGTCTCTTTCAGTCCCAGACACAGTGCCGGTGTCTCTATCAGGCCCAGACACTGTGCCGGTGTCTCTGTCAGGCCAAGCCACAGTGCCGGTGTCTCTGTCAGTCCCAGACACAGTGTCGGTGTCTCTGTCAGGCCGAGACACAGTGCCGGTGTCTCTATCAGGCCCAGACACAGTGCCGGTGTCTCTGTCAGACCGAGACACAGTGCCGGTGTCTATGTCAGGCCCAGACACAGTGTCGGTGTCTCTATCAGGCCCAGACACAGTGCCGGTGTCTCTGTCAGGCCTAGCCACAGTGCCGGTGTCTCTGTCAAACCCAGACACAGTGCCGGTGTCTCTGTCAGACCGAGACACAGTGCCGGTGTCTATGTCAGGCCCAGACACAGTGCCGGTGTCTCTATCAGTCCCAGACACAGTGCCGGTGTCTCTGTCAGTCCTAGCCACAGTGCCGGTGTCTCTGTCAGACCGAGACACAGTGCCGGTGTCTCTGTCAGTCCCAGACACAGTGCCGGTGTCTCTGTCAGACCGAGACACAGTGCCGGTGTCTCTGTCAGTCCCAGACACAGTGCCGGTGTCTCTATCAGGCCCAGACACAGTGTCGGTGTCTCTGTCAGTCCCAGACACAGTGCCGGTGTCTCTGTCAGGCCCAGACACAGTGACGGTGTCTCTGTCAGTCCCAGACACAGTGTCGGTGTCTCTGTCAGGCCCAGACACAGTGACGGTGTCTCTGTCAGGCCTAGCCACAGTGCCGGTGTCTCTGTCAGTCCCAGACAGAGTGTAGGTGTCTATATCAGGCCCAGACACAGTGCAGGTGTCTATGTCAGGCCCAGACACAGTGCAGGTGTCTCTGTCAGGCCCAGACAGAGTGTAGGTGTCTATATCAGGCCCAGACACAGTGCAGGTGTCTATGTCAGGCCCAGACACAGTGCCGGTGTCTATGTCAGGCCCAGACACAGTGCAGGTGTCTCTGTCAGGTTCAGATACAGTGCAGTTGACTATGTCAGGCCCAGACACAGTGCAAGTGTCCATGCCTGCCTTATCATGTAGCTATCATCCAGTGTAAATATCTTGGACATGCCTTATCATCGCTATATTTTGTGAAACTATTATGGGCCTGCCTTATTGTGTTTACGCTATTATCGCTATTGTGGGCGTGCCTTATCGTGTCGCTACATCCTGTGTATTCCAAATGGGCGTGCCGTATCATGTAGCTACGTTCTTTCTTTTCTGAATAGGCGTGCCTTATCGTGTAGCTACATCGCGTGTATATTAAATGGACGTGCTTTGACATGTAGCTACATCCTGTGTATATTAAACAGACGTGCTTTAACATGTAGCTACATCCTGTGTATATTAAAAAGGCGTGCCGTATCATGTAGCTACACTCTGTGTATATTAAAGGGACGTGTTTTATCATGTAGCTATATCCTGTGTATATGAAATGGGCGTGCCTTATCATGTCGCTACATCCTGTGTATATTAAATGGGCGTGCCTTATCATGTAGCTGCATCCTGTGTATATTAAATGGGCGTGCCTTATCATGTAGCTACACTCTGTGTATATGAAATGGGCGTGCCTTATCATGTCGCTACATCCTGTGTATATTAAATGGGTGTGCCTTATCATGTAGCTGCATCCTGCGTATATTAAATGGGTGTGCCTTATCATGTAGCTACATCCTGTGTATATTACATGGGCGTGCCTTATCATGTAGCTACATCCTGTGTATATGAAATGGTCTTGCCTTCTCATGTAGCTACATCCTGTGTATATGAAATGTTCGTGCCTTATCGTGTAGCTACATCCTGTGTATATTAAATGGGCGTGCCTTATCATGTCGCTACACCCTGTGTATATGAAATTGGCGTGCCTTCTCATGTAGCTACATCCTGTGTATATGAAATGTTCGTGCCTTATCGTGTAGCTACATCCTGTGTATATTAAATGGGCGTGCCTTATCATGTCGCTACATCCTGTGTAAATTACATGGGCGGGCCTTATCATGTAGCTACATCCTGTGTATATGAAATGGTCTTGCCTTCTCATGTAGCTACATCCTGTGTATATGAAATGTTCGTGCCTTATCGTGTAGCTACATCCTGTGTATATTAAATGGGCGTGCCTTATCATGTCGCTACACCCTGTGTATATGAAATTGGCGTGCCTTCTCATGTAGCTACATCCTGTGTATATGAAATGTTCGTGCCTTATCGTGTAGCTACATCCTGTGTATATTAAATGGGCGTGCCTTATCATGTCGCTACATCCTGTGTAAATTACATGGGCGGGCCTTATCATGTCGCTACATCCTGTGTAAATTACATGGGCGGGCCTCATCGTGTAGCTACATCCTGTGTATGTTAAATGGGCGTGCCTTATCATGTAGGTACATCCTGTGTATATGAAATAGGCGTGCCTTATCATGTAGCTACATCCTGTGTACATTAAATGGTCGTGCCTTATCATGTCGCTACATCCTGTGTATATTAAATGGGTTTGCCTTATCATGTAGCGACATCCTGTGTATATTAAATGGTCGTGCCTTATCATGTAGCTACATCCTGTGTATATTAAATGGGCGTGCCTTATCATGTAGCTACATCCTGTGTATGTTAAATGGGCGTGCCATATCATGTAGCTACATCCTGTGTATATTAAATGGTCGTGCCTTATCATGTAGCTACATCCTGTGTATATGAAATGGGCATGCCTTATCATGTAGCTACATCCTGTGTATATTAAATGGTCTTGCGTTATCACGTAGCTACATCCTGTGTATATTAAATGGTCGTGTTTTATCATGTAACTACATACTGTGTATATTAAGTGGTCGTGCTTTATAATTTAGCTACATCAAATGGTTATTTAATGGTCGTGTTTTATCATGTAGCTACACACTGTGTAAATTAAGTGGTCGTGCCTTATTATGTAGCTACACTCTGTCTATATTAACGGTCGTGCCTTTTCATGTAGCTACATCCTGTGTATATTAAATGGTCGTGCCTTATCATGTAGCTACATCCTGTGTATATGAAATGGGCATGCCTTATCATGTTGCTACATCCTGTGTATATAAAATGGCCTTGCGTCATCACGTAGCTACATCCTGTGTATATTAAATGGTCGTGTTTTATCATGTAACTTCACACTGTGTATATTAAGTGGTCGTGCTTTATAATTTAGCTACATCAAATGGTTATTTAATGGTCGTGTTTTATCATGTAGCTACACACTGTGTAAATTAAGTGGTCGTGCCTTATTATGTAGCTACACTCTGTCTATATTAACGGTCGTGCCTTATCATGTAGCTACATCCTGTGTATATTAAATGGTCGTGCCTTATCGTGTTGCTACACTCTGTCTATATTAATGGTCGTGCCTTATCATGTAGCTACATCCTGTGTATATTAAATGGTCGTGCCTTATCGTGTAGCTACACTCTGTCTATATTAATGGTCGTGCCTTATCATGTAGCTACATCCTGTGTATATTAAATGAGCGTGCCTTATCATGTAGCTACATCAAATGTTTTTTTAATGGTCGTGCCTTATCATGTAGCTACACCCTGTGTATATTAATGGTCGTGCCTTTTCATATAGCTGTAGCTGGTGTTTATCAAATGTTATCTTGTAGCTACATCCGATGCATGTTATTTGGGCGTGTCTCCTCATGTACCTACATCTCATGTATATTTAGTGGACGTCCGTCTTCATGTAGCCTGTGTATCGTGAATAGGGTAATCTATTTACCTTGAGGTTGTGTGCCTGATCCCGTAAATACTAGTATCATATTACCTGCTTTATTCTGAATGTATTACACATACATTAATTTATTTTCCAAAGGTACCTGTCATGTGGTTTTAAATGGTAATGAAGGGTCTGTTAAAAAGAGTTATAAAAAAACTTAATAATCAAAAGAGGAAAAAAATTAATTCATGGGTTAAAAAAAAATCAATTGAGTTTAAATGCTTATAAATATAAAACTGAAAAATATGAAAATATAGATAAAAAGAGGAATACAAAAGCTTCAAAACATAAATATACTGAAATAAGGGGGGGGAAACTAATGCGCGGATAAAAAAATCAAATTGAGTTGAAATGCTTATAAAAATATAACTAACATATCTGAAATTATTAATAAAAAAACCATCTTATTTATGAATAAAAAGACCAACAATATAGAATATATTGAAATATACCCTGAACGTATAGTAAGCATAGGGTCACCTAGACTTATTTGTAATCGGTTGTACACCCTATATGAATAGCTTAGAGTGATTTGTCCACCTTAGTTGTGGGAGAGATGTAATCCCAACATAATTAGTTGTAAGAGAGTTGTGAACCCTATATTTATAATTTGTTGTGAGAGACATGTTCACCTCGGTTGTGAGAGAGTTGTCTACCTTAGGGCTGAGAGCGTTGTGCACCGTGGATGATTATACTGTGAAGTAGTTATACTTCTATAATAGTTGTTAGAGAAAAAAGGAAACTTGGTCTAACTGTAAGGGTATTCGGCCACAATCTTTCTTAAGTTCCCGATTGTCAACACAAAATTCAATATGCAATAAAAGTGCTGATGGGCAGACGGTGTTATTGTCTTAATTCTGTGATATAATTACACTGCAAGATTCGTTGTCTGCAGTACCAGGGACAACTTGCACAAAACGATCTTAGAACTAAGATGATCATGACTCCCATACTTTAACATAGGCTTACAATAGTCGTAGCACTAAGATCGCTTTGTGCAAGTGGGCCCAGATGAAGTGGTAAGTAGAGCACCTCGGTACAACACGTGACTATGAAGCAGGTGATTGTACACATCCGATGAGGGAATTACACGTGTTTATTTGTTTGTTGTTTGACGCCGCACTCAGCAATATTCCAGCTTAATCCAGCTATAGGCCTGTGGGGTACCTGTCTGGGGGAGGGTGCAGGCCACGGCTACATGTTGACGTTGCTGGCTACAAGGTGTTTCTGTACGATTCGGGCTGGCGTTGTCGTGCTGATAAAGAACACCGCGTGGTAGCTGTTTTAGGAATGTTTGGACAATCGGACGCAGAATGTCATCCACGTAACGCTGAGCTCTTAACGATGACCAGTGGTGTTCTTTCCTGCCAGCAAATTCCTCCCCACATTGCATCCCCTCCACCACACTCCACCCTCTGACGACGATGTTGCTCTGTCAATAACTGTCCTCTATAAGGACTGTAAGCCCTATATCCTTGAGATCCGAGTCGCCTGGTCACTGTATGTTGACTTACCATACGCCCAAAGGCATTCGTCGCTGATGACGTCACTGTCAAGAATCGATTCCAGAGATGCAAAGTTCGCAAACACCGGTCTTCATTGGGCGTAGTTACTCTGGGTCTGCGTGTTGCCTGTCTGGTGTCTGCCCGGTCCATCTGTAACGTTGCATCAGGTTAGTTACAGCAACACGGGAGCAACCCCAAAAGTTCTAGCTACGTGGGCCTGGGTGGCTTCCATCTGTACCATACTCAGGGGACCCGTGAAGATCCAGGGTAGATTAGGTCTTCAGTAACCCGTGTTTGCTGCATAAGGCGATTATGCTTGTCGTAAGATGCGACTAACGGGATCGGGTGGTCAGACTCGCTGACTTGGTTGATGCATGTCATTGTGTCTAAATTGCGTGGATCAATCTCTGGATTGTTTGGTCCAGACTCGATTATTTACAGACCGCCATACATATAAAGTGTGTCGTTAAACAACAAACAACAACGACATACTAAGAGCCCTTCTCGCGTTGTTCGGGTCTGTTTACTTGAGCGATTGAATTGAATGGAAATTAATGGTTAATACTTGTGAGTGAGAGAGTTACAACGGCAATGTATCAGTCATATGTGAAGATGACCAGGGGTCATTGATATTATCAATCAAAGGAACGTTGATTATGAACACCCGACAGCCATCAACTAAATTAGTTTCAATATTGAAAACACCTTATTGTCGATTTTCATGTTACAATGACGTCATAGTATCATGACGTCACAGGTCAAAGTTCATCACTTCGTAGTATTGTTCTGCGAGACCGCTGGCACAAAGGCAGCTCTCCTTTTTTAAGAAGTTTAATCAGTATATTACACCCCGCAGAGATCGGACACCTTCCAGGTAAGTACCAGAGTATACTACTTTCTTTTCTAGGCTTCCTGCGGTTGTATTTAATAGCTCCATATTGTTTCCCTAAAACACGACCGTGTCTGATGTGAGGTTGCGGTAAGAAAATGTTTGATGTGTATTAGGATCAACGGTTTTATCCATTTCTGAGGCCACATCAGCTGAGAACCGATTAATCTGTTCTATCTTTAACATTTTGTCCTCGTGTTCCAACTGATTAAATGGTTAATTTGCTTTAACCAGATCTTTTAAAACGCTATATAAGCGCGATAGTTGGTTTTAACCCCACTTTTAAAAGGATTCCAGTAATTTCACTGCGTGTTAGCTTACTGTGGGAATGTCCGAAGTGATGCAGGTCTCAGACGTTTACCACTTTGGTGAAACACACGAGCACGGGCATGGTGCCGAAAAACCTAGAAACATAATCGGGTCGAGCCGGGATTCGAACCCAAGATCATATACTATACTCCAATACCCCAACACAGACTTACACATGCGCGGGTCCGGATATCTATTTGTAAGGTTTCTTTCAATGGTGGCAGTAATAAACTTCAAAGATGGTAGAATGCCAGCGATAAGATAGTGTTTATTAATGAAACTTATTTTTTATGACACTGTACCTATTTTTCTAGCAAAGCAGGTACATTCGTAATTATAGTTACCTGTAAATCAGAAAATACGAAGACTTATACACTCTTTAACATATTAATATGCTGACGTATAGTTTTCGCACTTGATATGCATTGAACGTATGCATACACATGGTACTTGATTTTGTGTAATTTTTTTCCGATTTTGCAACATGTAATTAACTTTTTTCGGTTCTGATTTTCTTGGGCCAAGACTACACTTTTTACTCACTGACGTAAACTTTGTTATGCAGATGACTTTTTAAAAATCTATGGCCTAACTAAAATTTATTAAAATATATCTTACGTAATACAGATTTAATTGCTTGATCAAACCGAGCCGAAAACTGATGTTTTTTTTATTTTCAAATACTATTTTTGAAAACAGTGTGACATCCAGGGATCCCACAATGTCCTCTGTCGAACTTGCTGAAAGACAGAAGGGCGAAGATGCAGTAATTAATTCCGAGGACTACCGTTACATCATGTCAACATCGGCGTCTGACTTAAGTTCCTCTCCATCGTCATCCAAGACTAGTCCTCGGAGACCTGAAGCTTCCGCCAAAATGCCAGCACGGGTAGATAACTCCATCAAACCTGGAGACTACAAATATATCATTGAGACATCGGCGTCAGACGAGTCATCATCTCCATCACGCAAAGGTCTTCGTGAATCTGTTGGAGCATCTGCTTCACCCTCTAGGAGCTCTCACAGCAGTCCTCGTGAATCTGACAGTGGATCTGACAAACCTGATGACAGATGCTACACTTCACCAACGTCATCTCCATTGCCACACCCAAGGTCTCTTACAGGGTCCAGGGAATCTGTCTTGTCGTCTGAAATTCTAAGCAGCGTCTCCTCTGACTCTGAGAAAGTATTCGACCCCTTCGCGAAGGACCACCTTCAGCCCAGACTTTCCCCGAGGGAGCCATCTGTGGACGTTCATTTCCCAGTCGCTGAAACAGTGTCCGAGGTATCCCTGGCAAACAGGAGCGATGAATCGTGGTTTACCGACTCCAGGGAGTCGAACAGTTTCCACCAGGACGCACTACACATACGTAAGCTGATGCTGGACCAGGCCTGGGTCTCTGACAGGCAACAGCCCATGTCGGACTGGGTGTCCTCTGTTATCGTCTGGGATGATGACGGTAAGTGATTCCATCAGTAGTTGGAACATCATCAGAGAGTGAGTGAGTGAGTGTTGTTTAATATCAGAAATAGGCATCACACATTGTACCAACATTACATGATGAGCTGAAACATATATATGAATTATGACAGGTATATTCACATAAAAGTATTTTCTCTAAGTAGCTTTGCTATCATTTTTTTCTTCCATTGAAGCAAATTTGTTAATAACGAAGTGACAGATATATATATATATATATATAAGATTCTTGTTTCTGTCTCAAAAGTTGCAAGCAACTTGGGTGTGGACTCTCTCCTGACCAGACTGAAGAACCGGTTTCAGGTGAGTCCCGTGATTTCCGTGCTCTTGTCACTCAGCGACTCTCATTGCTTCAAGACATACAAGACATCTTTCTTAACGACAAACGGAACAACTCTAGGGGTCAATTATAGTGAACGCTCCAGTGAAGAATTTCATTTTTGAGGGGTAAAACTGGAAACTTAATTATTTTTAGGCCTTTTCCAAAGACTCTGGGGAAACGTTTTTAGAATACTCCCAGAAGAGCCAATGGTCGGCCCCAACTAAGTGATATTTTCCTTGTTGTTTTCGTCATGATGATATCCGCTGAAATATCAACCTACTTTTCTTACCAGAGCACTTGGTGGCGCCTGACAAGGGGGAGGGAGACTCGGGTCCAGATCCTCAAGAAATCCAGCTCAGCATCCGGAAGCGGCATCAGCGGTGAGTACAGGGGTATTTGTTGAGCTGTTCGACAAGTTTAGAACGCCCCATTGAGGCGAATTCGAACGAACGAAACCAAGGATACCTTTGTTGAACAGTAACAGCAAATAGTTGAATATTAACATTACGTGTCAATGAAACGTTCTGTTGTCCTGAAGTTGCGTTTTCTGTCTGTAGGTGGAGACGAGGACAAGGCACCACACAAAGAGAAGCTGCAGAAGAGAGTGCAGAGGTTCATGTCCCGGTTCTTCATTTGTGGAGGACCATCACAGGCCTAGACACAGTCAGTGTTCGGCCCAGACTAAGTGCAGGTGTCTCTATCAGGCCCAGCCACAGTGCCGGTGTCTCTATCAGGCCCAGACACAGTGCCGGTGTCTCTGTCAGGCCTAGCCACAGTGCCGGTGTCTCTGTCAGTCCCAGACACAGTGCCGGTGTCTCTGTCAGGCCGAGACACAGTGCCGGTGTCTCTATCAGGCCCAGACACAGTGCCGGTGTCTCTGTCAGACCGAGACACAGTGCCGGTGTCTCTGTCAGTCCCAGACACAGTGCCCTTGTCTCTGTCAGTCCCAGACACAGTGCCGGTGTCTCTGTCAGGCCTAGCCACAGTGCCGGTGTCTTTGTCAGGCCCAGGCACAGTGCCGGTGTCTTTGTCAGGCCCAGACAGAGTGCCGGTGTCTTTGTCAGTCCAAGACACAGTGCCGGTGTCTCTGTCAGTCCCAGACACAGTGCGGGTGTCTCTGTCAGGCCGAGACACAGTGCCGGTGTCTCTGTCAGACCGAGACACAGTGCCGGTGTCTCTGTCAGTCCCAGACACTGTGCCGGTGTCTCTGTCAGGCCCAGACACAGTGCCGGTGTCTCTATCAGTCCCAGACACAGTGCCGGTGTCTCTGTCAGGCCCAGACACTGTGCCGGTGTCTCTGTCAGACCGAGACACAGTGCCGGTGTCTCTATCAGGCCTAGCCACAGTGCCGGTGTCTCTGTCAGTCCCAGACACAGTGCAGGTGTCTCTGTCAGGCCCAGACACAGTGCCGGTGTCTCTGCCAGGCCCAGACAGAGTGTAGGTGTCTATATCAGGCCCAGACACAGTGCAGGTGTCTATATCAGGCCCAGACACAGTGCAGGTGTCTATGTCAGGCCCAGACACAGTGCAGGTGTCTCTGTCAGGCCCAGACAGAGTGTAGGTGTCTATATCAGGCCCAGACACAGTGCAGGTGTCTATGTCAGGCCCAGACACAGTGCAGGTGTCTATGTCAGGCCCAGACACAGTGCAGGTGTCTCTGTCAGGTTCAGATACAGTGCAGTTGACTATGTCAGGCCCAGACACAGTGCAAGTGTCCATGCCTGCCTTATCATGTAGCTATCATCCAGTGTAAATATCTTTGACATGCCTTATCATCGCTATATTTTGTGAAACTATTATGGGCCTGCCTTATTGTGTTTACGCTATTATCGCTATTGTGGGCGTGCCTTATCGTGTCGCTACATCCTGTGTATTCCAAATGGGCGTGCCGTATCATGTAGCTACGTTCTTTCTTTTCTGAATAGGCGTGCCTTATCGTGTAGCTACATCGCGTGTATATAAAATGGACGTGCTTTGACATGTAGCTACATCCTGTGTGTATTAAACAGACGTGCTTTAACATGTAGCTACATCCTGTGTATATTAAAAAGGCGTGCCGTATCATGTAGCTACACTCTGTGTATATTAAAGGGACGTGTTTTATCATGTAGCTATATCCTGTGTATATGAAATGGGCGTGCCTTATCATGTCGCTACATCCTGTGTATATTAAATGGGCGTGCCTTATCATGTAGCTGCATCCTGTGTATATTAAAAGGGCGTGCCTTATCATGTACCTACACTCTGTGTATATGAAATAGGTGTGCCTTATCATGTAGCTACATCCTGTGTATATGAAATGGTCGTGCTTTATCATGTAGCTGTATTCTGTGTATATGAAATGGGCGTGCCTTATCATGTAGCTAAATCCTGTGTATACTTAATGGTCGTGCTTTATGATGTAGCTACACCCTGTGTAGATGAAATGGTCGTGCCGTATCATGTAGCTCACTCTGTGTATATTAAATGGTCGTGCCTTATCATGTAGCTACATCCTGTGTATATTAAATGGGTGTGCCTTATCATGTAGCTACATCCTGTGTATATTAAATTGGTGTGCCTTATCGCGTAGCTGCATTCTGTGTTTATTAAATGGGTGTGCTTTATCATGTAGCTACATCCTGTGTATATTAAATGGGTGTGCCTTATGATGTAGCTACATCCTGAGTGTGTATATGAAATCGACGTGCTTTATCATGTAGCTTACTCTGTGTATATTAAATGGTGGTGCCTTATCGTGTAGCTACATCCTGTGTATATTAAATGGGTGTGCCTTATCGTGTAACTACATCCTGTTTTTATTAAATGGTCGTGCCTTATCATGAAACTACATCCTGTGTATATGAAATGGACGTGCTTTATCATGTAGCTACATCCTGTGTATATTAAATGGTCGTGCCTTATAGTGTAGCTACATCCTGTGTATATTAAATGGCCGTGCTTTATGGTGTAGCTACATCCTGTGAATATCAAATGGTCGTGCCTTATCGTGTAGCTACATCATGTGTATATTTTAATGGTCGTGCCTTATCATGTAGCTACATCCTGTGTATATTAAATGGGTGTGCCGTATCGTGTAGCAGCATCCTGTGTATATTCAATGGTCGCGCCTTATTGTGTAGCTACATCCTGTGTATGTTAAATAGTCGTGCCTTATCATGTAGCTTCATCCTGTGTATATTAAATCGTCGTGCCTTATCATGTAGCTACATTCTGTGTATATTAAATGGCGTGCCTTATCATGTAGCTACATTCTGTGTATATTAAATGGCGTGCCTTATCATGTAGCTACACCTTGTGTATATTAAATGGTCGTGCCTAGTGTAGCTACATCCTGTGTATATTAAATGGCCGTGCTTTATGGTGTAGCTACATCCTGTGAATATCAAATGGTCGTGCCTTATCGTGTAGCTACACCCTGTGTATATTTTAATGGTCGTGCCTTATCATGTAGCTACATCCTGTGTATATCAAATGGGTGTGCCGTATCGTGTAGCAGCATCCTGTGTATATTCAATGGTCGTGCCTTATTGTGTAGCTACATCCTGTGTATATTAAATAGTCGTGCCTTATCATATAGCTACATCCTGTGTATATGAAATTGGCGTGCCTCATCATGTAGCTACATCCTGTGTATTTTAAATGGACGTGCTTTTTGATGTAGCTACATCCTGTGTATATGAAATGGTCGTGCTTTATGATGTAGCTACATCCTGTGTTTATCAAATGGTCGTGCCTTATCATGTAGCTACATCCTGTGTAGATTAAATGCACGTGCTTTATGATGTAACTACATCCTGTGTATATCAAATGGTCGTGCCTTATCATGTAGCTACATGCTGTGTATATTAAATGGGCGTGCCTTAATCATGTAGCTACATCCTGTGTGTTTGAAATGATCGTGCCTTATCGTGTCGCTACATCCTGTGTATATGAAATGGGCGTGCCTTATCGTGTAGCTACATCCTGTGTGTTTGAAATGGTCGCGCCTTATCATGTAGCTACATCCTGTGTATATGAAATGGGCGTGCCTTATCATGTAGGTACATCCTGTGTATATTAAATGGGCGTGCCTTATCGTGTAGCTACACTCTGTATATATTAAATGGTCGTGCCTTATCATGTAGCTACACCCTGTGTATATTAAATGGCCGTGCTTTATGATGAAGCTACACACTGTATATATTAAATGGTCGTCCCTTATCGTGTTGCAGCATTCTGTGTATATTAAATGGACGTGCTTTATGATGTAGCTACACACTGTGTATATGAAATGGGCGTGCCTTATCATGTAGCTACATCCTGTGTATATGAAATGGATGTGCTTTATCATGTAGCTGTATTTCGTGTAGATTAAATGGTCGTGCTTTATCATGTAGCTTTATCCTGTGTATATTAAATGGGTGAGCCTTATCATGTAGCAGCATCCGGTGTATATTAAATGGTCGTGCCTTATCATGTAGCTACATCCTGTGTATATTAAATGGGCGTGCCTTATCATGTAGCTACATCCTGTTCATATTAAATGGGCGTGCCTTATCATGTAGCTACATCCTGTGTATATGAAATGGTCGTGCCTTATCATGTAGCTACATCCTGTGTATATGAATTTGCTAGTCTTATCATGTAGCAGCATCCTGTGTATATGAAATGGGCGTGCCTTATCATGTAGCTACATCCTGTGTATACTAAATGGACGTGCTTTATCATGTAGCTGTACCCCGTGTATATTAAATGGTTGTGCCTTTTTATGTAGCTACATCCTGTGTATATTAAATGGGTGTGCTTTATCATGTAGCTGTATCCTGTGTATATGAAATGGGTGTGCCTTATCATGTAGCTACATCCTGTGTATATGAAATGGTCGTGCTTTATCATGAAGCTGTATTCTGTGTATATGAAATGGTCGTGCCGTATCATGTAGCTCAATCTGTGTATATTAAATGGTCGTGCCTTATCATGTAGCTACATCCTGTGTATATTAAATGGGTGTGCCTTATCATGTAGCTACATCCTGTGTATATTAAATTGGTGTGCCTTATCGCGTAGCTGCATTCTGTGTTTATTAAATGGGTGTGCTTTATCATGTAGCTACATCCTGTGTATATTAAATGGGTGTGCCTTATGATGTAGCTACATCCTGAGTGTGTATATGAAATCGACGTGCTTTATCATGTAGCTAACTCTGTGTATATTAAATGGTCGTGCCTTATCGTGTAGCTACATCCTGTGTATATTAAATGGTCGTGCCTTATAGTGTAGCTACATCCTGTGTATATTAAATGGCCGTGCTTTATGGTGTAGCTACATCCTGTGAATATCAAATGGTCGTGCCTTATCGTGTAGCTACATCATGTGTATATTTTAATGGTCGTGCCTTATCATGTAGCTACATCCTGTGTATATTAAATGGGTGTGCCGTATCGTGTAGCAGCATCCTGTGTATATTCAATGGTCGCGCCTTATTGTGTAGCTACATCCTGTGTATGTTAAATAGTCGTGCCTTATCATGTAGCTTCATCCTGTGTATATTAAATCGTCGTGCCTTATCATGTAGCTACATTCTGTGTATATCAAATGGCGTGCCTTATCATGTAGCTACATTCTGTGTATATTAAATGGCGTGCCTTATCATGTAGCTACACCTTGTGTATATTA